CCCACCCTGATCTGGCCACTGCAACACATGTTTTCGTGCGCCACGACGCGGTCAGACCACCTTTGACACCAGCCTACGACGGGCCATTCCGCGTCCTTCACCGCACCCCCAAAACTGCCACTCTACTTCAGAACGGCCGTGAAGAGACAGACAGCTTGGACCGACTCAAGCCGGCGTACCTGGAGACCGCCCTAGAAAGCCTCTCATCTACGACTGATCTTCCGTTGGAATACCACAAACGGCATGTCACATTCCGACTTCCAGTCTACACGGGGGGCCCTGTAGCGCCCTCGTTCGGGCGGCGCGCAAACCGGAGAGCGCGCGATGGCGACAGAAGAAAATAAAGAAGGCGCTAGGCCGTGGCACGTGAAGCCACGGCTCACGTTCCGGGCTGGCATCGGTTATCGTTCAGGCGTGTCTTTCTTTCGCTCCTGTGGCATAAGCCTACAAGTGCAAAGCTACTTGTTGCTCTTTGAAGGGACACTTAAGGAAAATTTTAAGTTGAAGTGGGCAGTCCAAATAGTGTTCCAGAAAGCTCGTAGTGCTTGATTCGAAGAAAATGCACAGTTTGAAAGACAATCATGTTTTAGTGGTCCACCCACTGTTTGAGCTATTCAAACAACTTAACAATGGCCTTCTAATATGGCATTCGCCATGACCGACTTTTACTGCCCAACAGCCGGTGCAGCGGAGAACGTGTCTCTAGTGGAGCCCAGCTCAGTGAAAACTAACCATGTGTCATTACCAGTGGTCACTGTCAAAAAGTCGTTTCTCACATCAAATGGATTAAAATGCCTTGGTTGCATCTCATTCGACCTTGTAAAACACTGAAATGTTTTTCTTGTCACGGGTAGTTTGAGGACTATTTGTGATCAAATGTACTGACGCCCTTCTGTGTCATTCGGGCTTGCGTTCCAGAATGTCCCACTGGCGGCAAAAGCACTGCTGCATGTAATGTTGACGTTTTTTAGACATCCTCAAGCATTCACTTTTTACTCTGAGATAAATCGTTATTAGCCTTTAGTGTGTCTTTAGAAAGGGCATGCATATTCTCACCTGGGATGCCTGGCCTTCCAATCTTCCCTCTGGGACCCTGACGTGACTTGCCTGGCATTCCGCGTGGACCTTGAAGTCCCGCTGTCAGCTCAGCCATTTGTGCTGGGCATTGCATGTTTGTATCTTTTCTTTTTAATCTTCACATACTTTCTATTTTATCACTAACTTTACATGAGTAGTTCACAATGCCCTGCTAACATGTTAGCTTACTGTCTCCTCTCTCTGTTTTTTTTTTCACTTGTTATAGCAGGCTGTATGTAATGTTCGCACTGGTTTGTGTAGTCTCTTGTGTGAAACCAGTCTTGATGCGTATGTGCTTTTGAGATGTCTCACTGCACAATGCATTGCTTTTATAGACGTCTGACTCTGAAGCTTTGCAGACACGTAGCGCCACCTGTCGACGCAGTTTTGGGTAATGCAAAGCAGGAATCTCTTGCACAGCTGGCTGCACAAGTAGGTACAACTAGCGCCTGCAAAACAACGATTGAGCTAAATATTAGGGGTGTTTGCACGTTGAACACTCAGAAAAAGAGCAACGAATTTTTCTCCGCTAGGCGAACGCGTCAACGAACCGCCCTGAAGTGCTTGCTGGTTCACTAGCCGGAACGACGGCAAATAAAAGAGCAGACGCAGCAGTTGAGCCAAGATCTATGAATTAAGATTTCAGTTGACGCTACTATTTGCACTGTGAATTGTCACGGATGTAAAGGACTTCAATTTTATTAATTTTACTGATTTCCGTAGCTGTCGCAAAGCAGAATGGCAAGGGCGCTGGATACGGGCCATTGCGAACATTTTGGGTAATTGAATCACTTGGGTCTCCACAGCCGGTCGCATTACTAATGCAAGTGTAATAATGTAAGTCTTCTTAAGTAAGTTATTGTGCTGAGTGGCCCTGACGGAGAACACTGATAATATCGAATATGAAGCTCAACAGAGCCTCTGACCGCGATGCGCACCATGGTAAATGCAGAATGGTGACGCGTGCGATAAACATTACACACGCCGCGACTCCTGTTAATGGTGGTGGTCACCACACAGCATAGCGCACGTAGGCTTTGAAGGCTCTAAGTTTCGGCTTTAACTAGCAAATGCTAGCATGTACGTCATGTAGGTAAATGGTGAAATGTTAGTTGTGACCACAATCGGATTTTGCTTGCCCTTGGTGTCTGCATGAGGGAGCTATCTCGGGGGCCTCGTATTTGCCTATTGTTGTACACCAAGAAAGAAGACACGCATGGATCCCCATTCGAAGTATATACAAAATGGAAGGTCGGCCGTCACAGAACTTTCTATGATGCTAAATAAAACAGTTATATGCACAGGAAGTGAGAGGTGAATCGAGAATGCAACTGCAAAGGTGAAAATTGCCGGGACCATTCTTACCTGATAAAGTGAGCTATCACTGATCGCAAGATATGATCAGTGACTTGGCTAACACCTTAACAATCATCATCTAAAATAAGGCAGCAATATGGCACTTCATTGCAGCACGTGCAAATGCATACCGGAGTTCAAAGATTGCAAAGACATAGGAAGATACCAAAGCAGGCACGGTCGGCTGATAGCCAAGGCTTTCACAATTAAACTGAGGAATTTAGCGAAGCATCCATAACACTAAGCAAAGAAGAGATTAACTATCTCTAATGTGCCTAGGTACACTCTTAAAATTGTATCTTATTGATTAACAGCTTTTACACTTTGTATCGTGATGAATGGCTTGAAAGTTCACGTGACTTGTTACCCCCCGCACCTTTTCTTTATATTGCATTGAAGCAATAAACAGTCAGTTCGTTGTCAGCGCTCATCCTGTCTATTATTTCTTCGTATTTCAAGTCCTGTAGTGTGTGCTGTTTTTACCTTTTACTTCATACTTCGTTTCGTGGCAGCACTTTCCTGCCGCATAGCCGCTTATTGACGTTTGCTTATCCTCCTCCCCCAACACGAGGGAAACAGTGTCATTGAGGGCGTTTTTGAAGTGAATGGTTGATGTGCTGTTTGAAGCGTCGGTTTTGTTTTGCCTGCTAAATTAGCCAGATTTCATTGCCCTGCGTTGGAGTGCCGGTGACCGCCTTTCGGAAATTTTAAAGTGGCTATGAACTATTTGCAGGAGGGCCTTGAATGCGCTCATTTGACTTGACCCCTTATTTGCATTGGTTGAAATATTAATTGTGTGAATTTTTATAATTAGTGCCATAACTACTGTTTGTAGGCATCTGAAGATGCCTTCTGCCACAGTAAAGGGAACACCGCAGGTAGAACGCGTAAACCTCCTTTCTGTAATCCTTCAATAGTAGTAGACACATTTCTTGAAACACCCTGTATTCGCTCTTACTGCTCTAAGTAATTGTTCTGTCTGAATCCCCTTGCATGTCTTGCACATACAATCAATAAACTAGTAAAAAGTAAAGGAATACAGCTGTGTACTTTGAAGTCTTGATAGCAACAGTGATCGTTTGCTATAAGTGTGCGAGGTGGCGCTACTGCACTATGCACAAAAAGCTCATTGGCGGCACATAGTACATACTATCAGCAGATTGTTAGCTTGTATATCAGCGGCACTATGTACAACAGAGATCTGAAATTCCTATTGAAAGACTGTGGTTTATTCTTGATCTGGCGGTACCCTTGTGTGCGAATACAACACTGAAACTGTGTAGTACTAAGCTATATACGTTTGTGATGTGTCTAGACATGCTGATATTATTTGTGCAGTGATAGTGTGAGAAAACAATGTGTAGTGTTTGTTTAGTGTCTCGTTTAGAGCTTTGCTTTAGATTGCAGGCCAGCATGCAGAGTAGATAACACGAATGACAGTGCAGGTAAGGCGAAGGCTGCTTTTATGTATGACGTCCCAGGCAGCCTTAGTACTTATGCGAGGAAGTAATAATGAAGAAGGAATTGTTCAGTGATTGCTTTGAACTTTTAGAGAAGGATGGAAAAAGGGATGTACAGAGGAAAGTCAAAGTTCTTCCAGATATCTAGTCAAAGGTTCATCTTCTTACCCAATGTGCTGGGCAGGTAGTCATAAGCGGTTTTGGGTGCGCACGCACTTGCATTTGTTTTCAGCTGGTAATTGTTGCAGACATTGTGCCACCGTACAATCCCTCAGTATATCACTAGGTATGGCTAACGGAAAAAACGAACATTTACGTACATTAAACGCGCTTTTGTGAACAAGAAAGCTTGGGGTACCCATCCATGTGCTTACAGCAGGTAGATGCTCATTGCTGACAGGCTGACGATGCTTACTATGATCTTGCTTAACTTTGGGGCGTCTTTTTTTTTTTTTTCAGGCTTGAGGCTTGTGCTTTTAGCTCGTAAAAATATAAGTCCCTTAGAGAGCAGTATTCACACTGGCAGCAGACACAAGCTGGGCAGCCAAGTTTATCGCAAAGTTATGGTTGTGGTATATTGACGCTTTGGTCCAAAAGTGCCTGGTTTCGTAGTTCACTCACTGACCACTTCTTCACTTGCACAAATAAAATCGGGGAAATTGTCAAACCAATAAGCAGTGCAGGAGCAGTTTGTTGCAACATATCGAAAGTTCTTTTGAGTTTGAGATAGTCGCACAAACGATGACAAATACGAGAAATGAATGTGAACTGTAGCAAATGTGGCATGGCGACGGTTTGTTTGTGGTTACTGGTGGCCAGCTCCTCCACGGCCAGTTTAAGACACCTGTCAGGCACCAGTGTGAATGCGGCATTAGGCTCCTCGTTTTCTCACCATCGAGCCCCAGCATTCTTTGCTGCAAGATATAAAAAGTATTGCTAGTGTTTCAGTAACATGGTCTTCAAGGTGTGCTTTTTAAAAGCACGTGATTGCCATCAAATGTGTCTACAGTTAGGTTCTTACTGGTGTACGTGCTCTTTTTTTCTATTGCCTTTCCTTTCTTTTCTTCTCTTCAATGTTCGATTTCAAACTTGTCCACACATATGTACCTGGTGACCCTTGGGGTCCCGGTTGTCCTGGTTTCCCTGGTTTCCCAATGCCCGGGTGACCAGGGGGCCCTCGCATCTTGGCTGTCAGTTCGCTCAACTGCTCTGCACATTGCAATTGCACACTCTCAGTCAGAGAATCGGAATAAGGAAAAAGCCACAGCAAGACCGACTATTTTAGAAGTCTGATAGCTGTCTACGCTCTAGCATTTCAGCACTGGAGCGCTTTATAATTTGGCATGTAACTTTTGTATATGTTTACTGTAGCATAGGTCTGTGACTATGTGGGAATATTCTAATGGTCTGTAGATAGACTCACTGCCCGGGGCAGCAAGTAAGGGACTGCTCATGCCAACATGCAATGCAGTCACCCTCATTTCAACTTGTTTCGCTTATCTCTCGTGAAAGCTGAATCAATTACAGCTCTGGTCCTTGTTATGAATATCAAGTCAAAAGTTTGTTATCATGAAAAAGGGAGAATTTTATAATTAGTGACGTTTACTTTAACGTGGGCCATGGGAGTAGGCCTAAAATACACAGCTTATTTTTCACACATTGCAGTTCCAATGTGCAGTTGTTGAAGCAGAGTGGATATAGCACCGTTGCAGAGTTGTCTGTTGGTTCAAACCTAACTGGTTGACAAAAATATACATTTTTTCTTTTTCATTATTGTTGCAGCTTCAAGGCTAGATGCTGGTTTCAGAAAGAGAATGGGAGCACAGCGTCCTGTAGTTTTGTTTTCTCAGCCCAGGGATGGCAGAATTTGGGTAGCAGAGTGTATTGATGCTGTACGAATAACAGGCTGCCAGAAAAGCTTGCTGCTTGCGGTTTCAAAATTATCAAGCGTCTAATCGTGGCACAATTATACCTTGAGATTCTTCATGGCATACAGATCCGGCTTGGTTACGATCGGGTCATCTGTCGTGATTTTCTACATTTCGAACTGCAGTGGAGGGCAACTGTTATGTTCAAATCGAAGGCACTTAGCACTGTTGTGGCACTTAACATTTGGAAGTGAGTCTCTATTTTTGAATGCTAAAGATGAGCCAATATTTATGCAGTGGTTTAGAAGTATAAGCTGTAATCATCCGATTTAGTAATGAGTGTTTTTCTTGTGACTCTATAAAACGGCATTGCATTATCAAACCAACTGGTCCAATAGAACATTCTTGAAAGTGAGATACATACAGCCGAGGTCTAAGCCACGTCCGTGCATATAGTCATTCTGTGTAAATGCAATTCCTTGACAGAGCATGCATTGTTTATTGGCCGTCACGGCTTTTTAAGAAAACATGAGAAAGTGTGATCAATCATTGATCACATTTCATGAGTCATTTTTTTCAGGTGTCGTTTAGTTCTGGTTTAGGCTACAGGTGTTGTCGCGCGTCTGAATGTTTAAGTGTCAGCTTCCAACTGCATCATTTGGAAGCATGCAGTGATTCTGCAGTGTTAGATTGTCATGTGTCAATCGTAGAAATGGTTGCTTGTGCAAATGTTTTTGTTTTTTGCTACAGTTGTCGTAGAAGTGGAAGTAAGCAAAACTGTAAAGCATAGTTGTATGCACTACACCTATGCGAGCTTACACATTGTTTCTGCTTTTCTTGGTACAAGCCCTGCCAGCCTCAGCATGGTATGTCATGAATACTTATGGTTATACCATGACATAATGTGACTGGACTCTCTGCAACAGCTCTCAAATGTTAATGTGTGTCTTGGGTTTTATGTGCCAAAACCACAATGTCAATATGAGGTGCACTGTGTTCGAGGGTTCGGGAAATTTCGGCCATCTAGTGTGCTTTAACTTGCGCTGACATTGCACATTACATGGGCCTCTACCATTTTGCTTCCATCACAGTGCGAATTCCACGGCCGAGATGAAACCTGTGACCTTCAGGTCAACAGCTGCGTACTGTAACCACTGAGGCGGACAGTTCTGAAAGTGGTCATGGTCTCAGTATGGAACAGTGCCTGTTCATTGAAAGTTACCATTAATTCCTACAACGCAGCAAGCTTGCGTAAGCTCACAAAGGTGCTATGTGTGCGTGACGGCGTTGCAAAATATGACTGGACCACCAGTAAGAATTCAAAAACATTTGGCGCTTCTTGGATCGGAAAGACAGACCAATGTAGGGCATGGTTTGAAAAGTTGGACAATTTTAAGATGCCTATGTGGGAGGCAAGCATGCGAGGATATGGCTAGGGAAAATAAGCTTACCTCGAAGCACCGCTGAACACAGTTCTCGCACTTCTTCCTCAGTATATCCACGACCCTTGAGCGTGAAGAAAGGTGAGCATGTTATGGAAGATAATATAAAAGTACACTCCGTTTCATGCATCAGGTGCAACGCTTTGGGAGTTATGCAAGAAATTCAGTCAGCAATATGTCCTGACTACGCGTGCTTCGTGCTTGGCTTTCATTGTTGTAAACACTCGTGTGAGTCGAGCACAAATCGCAGAAGGATACAAATAAAACATCAAGAAATGGAATTCAAGACGCAAAGTCTCTGTTCAACAACATACAGACAGCTGTATAATGGAGCGTCTTTATCTCCGATACACAAAGCATCTTCATTTATTATAAAGCCCTAAGAGGAAAAGAAATCATGTCTCTGGATGGAAAAATTATCATACTATTTCTTAGTGCGAATATTCATTGCAGTCTCGCTATTCTCTACACCATTGCACGTGATGTGTGAATCGTAGTATAGGTATGTGTACCAGTCAACCGGCACTTTTAGCCATGTCAACTCTTGCACCATTAAACACCTCATATCATCACGTTCGTCTGATTTGCAACTGGTAAGTACTATTCCCACAAAAAGGAGAAAAAAAAATTAACAAACAAGAAGCATAAGCAGACAAATAAACATCTGGCCAACCAGTAAGCAAGGGTGATGGGGAATGCGGTAATAAAATAAAGGGTAACAAAAAAGGGTAACTGAAAAAAAAGCTAATAAAATGCAGGGTTTAGCAGCCCAGTGAATGAAGATGAAAGGAACGGGAACAGCAAGACCAGTGCTGGCCATCTGGTAATAAAACAGCTTATCGAAATGCATGGGACAACTATATGCACGCAGGCGCAGGTACCCTTAGAAGTTAAAAAATGCATGTCACACTGTGTAATACCATGAAATACTATACTGTAGTATCTCATGAAAGATGTTTGTGCTTATAACAATCATCACATTGCATGCCTCTTCCTTTAGAAAGTGTTAGTGGACAAATGGAGGAGCTTCAGTCGAGAACTCTGGGGGACTTGTGTTTCAGGGCAATGGCTGCTTTCCAAGTCACTGATTCTGTATCTCCTCATGATAAGGATTCTAGTCCACGTCCTTTTACTTTCAGTGGTCCCTTCGCCTATTAGCCTTCATCTTTCTGCAACAATTTTATCTGTGGCTCTCTTTCTGTGACCTTTTTATCCAATGACACTGATTCCTGGTTCCTGCAAAACTGCAGTGTTGCAGATTTAATTTGCCATCATGCAAAATCTACTTAATTTTGAAGGCTTTAGGAAGCAAAGGTTTCGTCATTTGTAATGGTATCAGTAGAGCCACGTGATTAGAATTCTGTTGCATATCTGTCACACTTTCAGTATGAAACTGTGAGCACTTTTGAGCGCTCGCAGCTGGAAAGTGGTGCTCAGAATTAAACGTGCTAGCGTGTAGCGAGTGTTAAATTTCCACGAAAATCAGATAAAGCTTAATTAAGAAGGCCACAGAGGCCCTGTCTGGATGACTGAAGTGTAGCAGACATTTGCCTTTGAGATTAAAGAAATGACATGATGTTCCCTGGTGCCGAGGTCACCAACATTGCGAATCGGTGACATCAGTGTAGAGCTCATTGGTGTAGGCTTGTGTGCATCCACCTTTGAGGTGTATATGCTGCCGTCTTCCGAATTGGTAGCCGACTATAGTTAAATGTGAACACCACAACCTGAATCTTACCATATAAATACACCATAAGTCTCCCTGGGACTGTTTGTGTCAGTTGGTGTAGCATTGTCACTAAGGGGCGAAAAATATTTTTTGCACATCTTTTTCATGTTCCCCTGTTGTTCCAGGTCACGAAAAGGGAGATGAGGATGTATAGTGGAGTGTGGCATTTTTACCGGAGGTCCTGGCAGGCCTGGCATTCCTGGCTGTCCCCTGTTTCCCGGAGTGCCCGGCTGGCCTGGTGATCCATCTGTACCCGGCATGCCCATTTGGCCTGGAACACCGGGGACTCCACGTTCTCCTGGTGGTCCTCGTTCACCTGGCTGTATACATTTGTAAGTTCAGCAATTGACTGACGGGGAAATTCTTTGGAAAGGGGAACTGCAGAACTTGCATGTGCAGACTGGTTTTTAATTTCATTTACACTATCAAAAGCTAAGGATCAGTACCAACTTGCCTGATCTTGGTGCTTGCTATATTAACAAGAGACTTTCACTTGTTTCATTGCTCCTTTGTCTCCACTTTCTAAATTATTTTTTACTTTGTGGATGTTGTGGCCTTTAGCATCAACCAAAACACATGGAGGTTGAGACAGTCCGGGCACTTTTTACTGAAATGTTTTTATTTTAAACACAGAATATATATACACACACGTCACGTGTATACTGCTTAGAAAAATGGCAAACAAGGAAGATGTAATATAAATTATGTCCTATACCTTATACCTCAACTTGTGCATGCATTTGTAATTCTGTACCATCACTGTGAAAATGAGCCAGAGTAAAAGGGGTGTCTTTTTGTACTGCAACAAAAATCTGCATCCAGCTTGCTAGCACTTCCTTTCTTGAAAATTTGGCGCTGGCCACATTTCGATGAAGAATGCTATGTCACGCTGATAACGTGAATGTCGTTCGTGACCTGGAAGTGCCAGGTGTGTGGCAATAATGCAAGGAAAGGAACAAAAATAGACGATTATTTTTGTAGGCCACAGACACCCTTTTTACTTAATCTTTTCTTAGAGTGTTGGGTATACACATGTGCATACTGGAACATGAAGAATAGTATACTAAATACTATTAATAAGAAACTTGAGTTTTTGCACGATCCGTTACTCTTAACAAAAAAAAAAAATGACTGCATATCCACGGGGTGAATGATTCAGGGTGGAACGAAGCTTGGTCAGCACGCTGCTGCTGCGCCGCTTCGGCCTCCCGTTCTCGTACGCCGGGATCTTGTCAGCGGCGCCACGCAGCTTCACGGCACGCTTCTGCCTCGCGCGCTCGCACATCGGGGTTCCGTTATCTAGTGCGAGGCGCCGCCACCTTGTGCCCACGCCGCTCTACAGCCTTGTCCATCAGCCGACCTTCTGAACGTACGCGCGCTCCAAGACTGCTTTTATTTTACTACACCGTGCCCCCTAGTGTATGGCGCTGCCGACGAACACGCGATCGCCAACGTCTTCGTGTGACGTCATTCTTCTTTTCTTGCACGTTTGCACATCGGGGTTTCATCTTCGAGTGCGAGGCGCACCGCCTTGCGTGTATCATAATTTTTATTGGCAAACCGTAAATTATCCGCTGGCCACATTCGTCCTTCGTCTGTCGGTCTGTTTGACGCATGAGTGAACGGACGCTTGGACGAACGGAGAGATGCATGCACGGATGGACGCTTGAGAGGACAGACGGATGCATGGACAGATGCACGAATGAATTGAGGAACGGATGGACGTGCAGACGGACGTACGGATGCATACACAAACGCAGGGACGAACGCATGGACGAATGCAGGGGCAAACGAACGCATGGACAAATGCAGGGACAAACGGATGGACAGACATACAGATGGACGCACGAGAGGACGGATGCACGAATGGACAGACGCTCGAATGTACAGAGGCACGGATGGACGGAAGAAAAAAAAAAAAAAACAAACGGACGGCCAGAAGCACGGACGGAATGAGAGGCGCTTCGCCCCACTCGTCATCATTCACTCCATGGATATGCTGTGATTTTCATTATTTATCGTACTACAAGTAACTTCCTCTAGTATCATACCATTTTCATTTTTCAGCGTATGTACGTTTCGTTATATGTACAAGTACTGCCCTCTACGGCCGGTTCAAGAACTAACGAGAAGTGGCTACATACGATTAGGACTGGACGCTCAGCCCACGCCTCAAGGAGGTTTGCTCCTAAAATGATATGCATAATAATAAGGGAGAAGGATATGCCATTCTGGATCAGTGGGGAGGCAAGGCTGTTATCTAACAGGTGTAGCATATTGTCGCGATGTCAAAGGCAAAGGTCTTAATGCAGAGATCAAGAGAACACTAGTAGGTAGGTCTTTTTAATACTCTGTGCAAGCACATTCTTCTTGTTTGTCGTTTCCATTTTCCTATATCATTATCATCATCATCAGCCTGACTACACCCACTGCACGACTAAGGCCTCTCCCATGTTCCACCAGTCAACTCGATCCTGTGTTTGCGGCTGCAACTTTATGCCTGCGAAATTCCTAATCTCATCTCCCCACCTAACTTTTTATCTCCCCCTCACCCGCTCGCCTTCTCTGGGAATCTAGTCAGTTACCCGTAATGACCAGCAGTTATCCTGCATACATGCCCGACCTATGTCCATTTCTTCTTGATTTCACCTATGGTATCCTTAATCACGATTTGTTTCCTGACCCGGTCTGCTTTCTTCCTATTTCTTAAAGTTACCCCTATCATTTTCTTTTCCATCGCTCATTTCGTTGTCCTCAATTTAAGCTGAATCCTCTTTGTAACCCTCCAGATTTCTGTTCTGTAGGTGAGTACCGGCAAAATGCAGCTGCTATATACCTTCCTCTTGATGGATAGTGGCAATCTACCAGCCATGATTTGAGAATGCTTGCCGAATGAGCTCCACCCCATTCTTATTCTTCTAGTTAATTGAATCTCGTGATTTGGCTTCACGCTTACTACCTGTCCTAAGTAGACGTAATTCTTTTGCAACTTCAAGTGCAGTTGAAGTACAAACGTACTTGAAGTGTGTAAAAAAGTACATCTTCATACATAGCAATGGCATAATTGTATTGTCGTCTTTCCTGCCATTTTTTGCTGCAATCATGTGGCAATATTTTCTTGAGGAAACTCTTTATAATTTGTCTCTGCAACTCAGTGCAGTGGGATGGTGCAATGTCTGATGGCAGATAATGTCGCACACTTATGGCTTGCAGTTTCTTGTTATATACTCGCAACAAACGCCATCATGGCCATATTGAAAGGTGTCCTGCTAATAAGTCTGAATGATTTCGGCCAGCAGTCTATCACACCGGTAAATGCATTATCTGCAAAGAGGGCTTACTGTCAGCCAGGCATTTGATCAGGCAGCATATTACTGAGACAGCCTCAGGCATGCAGAACATAGAAGTGTTTATAGTACCAGTCCTGGTGGTCCCATGGGCCCCGTCAATCCCTGAAAAGAAGCAGTGCTACATTATAGCAAGCAATCCAAACTGGTGCGTCTATGTAGCTGTCACAGAGTGCTTTTCCAATGTCATGGTACAAAAGGAGGCGTCATTAGACATGGAAGTGACACTTATTTGTGGTGTTGCTACTGTCTAGTAGCCAGAAAGAATACAAGGAATGTCCACCTGGCATTCGTTAGGTTTTATATTGTCGAGCTGCAGAAGGTCGTCAAAACTTATGGAGCTCACTCAGACTCGCTCATTAATTATATTTTGCCCTTTGTATTCACTCGGACTTGCGCACATTAAAAATTTTCTGAGACAGACTCACAGGGACACACAGTCACAAAAATTTTCTTCAACTGAGCTCAATCGGACTCTAGCTCACCAAAACGTACCCCGACTCACTCACACTCAGACTCATGGCTTGATAAGAGTGTGAGTCCGAGTGAGTCGACTCATGAGTCCGTTAGTCTTGAATTAACTTCTTGAATATTGTGTCTATGCTCTTTAACACCAATATCTCACGTAATCGATGCTATTCTTGGCCCCGATAGATATAGTGCATCTTCGAATACGAGTTATGAGTAAGGCCATTTTTCTTGGAAGAGATGACAACATAAAGTATATTTATCAAGAACTTCAGGAAGAGAGTTGGTGAGGGGAAGGTCAAGGCAACCTCCTATTTAATTCGCACCTCTAATCAACAAATATTGAAATGGTGTATGAAGGACACTGCTTTGGAATACGTGGGAGTAGTTACGAGTTTAGGCAAGGCTGATAGTAATGCTGAAGGGTATATAGATACAATGATAAGACGGCAAAAGAAAGTGGAACTCACTCAGACTCACTCAAGAAATATCTTGCCCTTTGGACTCACTCGGACTCAGACTCAGCAAAATTTTCCAGGGCCGGACTCGCGTGGACTCACACTAACCAGACTCACCCGGACTCAGGCTCGCGGATCAATCTGAGTCTGAGTGATTGCGAGTGAGTCGACTCATGAGTGAGTTTGCCCACCCATGTCGAGCAGTTAGGCAGCTAGCTTGGATATGACGTGCGAGGAAGGGTCTATAGGTGCAGAGAAGGCTCTCTTAGTGGATGGTTTACTTTATAGTATCGATAGAGGCTGCAGTGTTGTAGTAATTGTGGCTGTGCTACGCTTGCGGCATACAGGGTTGTCAGGCTACATTTATGCTGCAGTCAGTACGACACGACATTGGAAAGTACCGATTCCTAGAGTTGGCCAATCACGGCACAAGCTTACAGTTCTGTTACCCATCACACTTGAGCAGAATCAATTAAAACACAGCCACTCTGACATGGCACGTCAAATCGGTGCTTGTTCAGGAACTTACCCTATGAGACGTGCGATGCAGTGTAAAAACAGTGACCGTATATCGTGCAAACAGCATATGTTGCTATGCACGTGTAAACAAGTCCGACGGAGCTAGGAAATGTTCTCATTGAGGTTGAGCTCTGTACTGACCGGTCTGCTTGGTGCCACGAGGTATTCTTCTTTGGCTTGGTAGATGCACTCGCCCTGCAAAACAGTGCAGGCTCACTGTCATAACGTGACTTGGTTAGCAACCTAAGAAAGAATGGCACCTCTGCCCACAGAACCGTGGTGTGCCTTCCCTTCAGTTCTGAAAAACAGTCGTGCTGGCTGGTTTCTGCTCAAATTGTGAGTGCACTTTCTCTCAACGAATTCAAGTACAATGCGCATTAAGAGTTAAACGGTTTATCAATACTAGACCTAAGCATTATGTTAGGCTGAGCAGGCGATGTCAAAACACCCACGAAATTTACCATGGCTATTGGAAGTTTCCAACCCAAAATTAGCGACACAAGCGTCAGTCTCTATCGGCAAGTCAGCTATTTGGAACGCCCAAGAAGTTCTTGATATCAAGCAAAAAAAGGGTAAGTTCTATTGGATTAACATGCGTGAAAATTTCTGTAGTAGAGACAGCAATAGGCGTTGGCAGAGCTGATATTGTTTCTTTGGTTTTAAGCAAGTAAAGGCAAGAGCAGTAGCTTGCAAACAGTATTGAAGTTTGTGAGATTGTTTCCTCGTTAAGTGCAAAACCCTTGGTACCTTGAAGAAATGTGATTGTACCTTTTCACCGGGTTTCCCAGGAGGGCCCTCCAGCCCCTATGACAAGAAACAGCAAATCCGGATTAGTACGACATTTTAATGTCATGGCGGCTCTAACGAATGCAGCAAGTGGTTCATATACAATGTGCAATCAAAGACTTAATCAGGCTATGCCTCGTGAGCTGTTGGCAGAACTATGTGTGTGGTATGGCTACTGTGTGTAATGAGCCTGCAATAAAAACGCACGGTTCCACCCACCTGGGAGTAATTGGCACAATCCTACGTAATATAAAGTCGTAATGGAGTGAACAACTACGTAATTGAAACACTGAAATTACGAATCTGGGATTCTTCTACTCAGTTTGGAGATGGAAATGCATGGAAGATGTGTAAGTGCAGCACAGTCACGGAAGCCTGCCTCCTTTCATTTCAAAGTAGAGTTGTTATTGTTCAGCATTGTTATGAAAACATGTGGATGTGAGATGGCATGAAAGTGTATTATTTATGTGCACTCTTGCACTTCTCGCATGGAAATTACTGTTTTGGCCGATAGTACAAGCGTTGTGCTGTGGACTGTGGTCACAGAATTGTGTTGCTCTTGTTCAGTGCTCAATAGGCACAAACCTGCATTGTCATTTGCACCATAAACTCTTCATAACTAGCAACAGTTGAAGTAGTATATGGTTTAGTGTTAAGTGAATTGCATGAAGCAAAACTGCAGTAAAGGCACATGTACATTACCCGAAGCCCTCTGGGCCCCATGATACCTGGAAGACCATGGGGCCCTGGATTTCCAGGTGGTCCTGGGGGACCCTGTAACATGAACAGCGAGGGCTTTTTAATTTCTTTTTTTGCATATGGGGTAATAAATGAAAAATCTGAATTTTTTTAAAGCTTTATTGACCCTACCAAGTTTAGGTTTAACTGTGTTCATGTTTTTAAACACAATTTTCAAAGGAATTACCTGCGGTCCTGGTGGCCCTATTGGTCCCTCTGGCCCTTGTAGTCCCTTGTCACCAAAGACACCCTGTCGAAAAGAGCATGGTGGAATAGATAATATTCTTGGCTCCTACAACCACTATTCATCATCATCATCATCACATCAGCCTGACTATGCCCACTCCCGGGCAAAGGCCTCTTCCATGATCTGCCAATGAGCCCCGTCTTGTGCTTTCTGCTGCCACATTATACCTGCAAACTTTTTTTAAATCTCATCGCCCATCAAACTTCGTCTCCCCCTCGTGCCTTTGCCTTCTCTGGGAATCCAGTCAGTTACCCTTAATGACCAGTTGTTACCCTGCCTATGTGCTATGTGCCCGGCCCATGTTCATTTCTGCTTCTTGATTTTAACTGTGATATCCTTAATCCCGGTTTGTTCCCTGACTGACTCTGCTCTCCTTGTCTCTTGAAGTTACACTTATCATTTTCCTTTCCATCGTTCGTTGCGTTGTTCTCAATTTAAGCTGAACCCTCTTTGTAACAGGTTTCTGCTCCGTAGGTAAGTACAGGCAAAATGCGGCTATTATGTACCTTCCTCTTGAGGGTTAATGGTAGATTACCATTCATGATTTGCGAATGCTTGCCGAATGTGATCCATTCCATCCTTATTCTTTTAGTTATTTCACTCTCATGGTCCAACTTCGCGGTTACTACTTGTGCCAAGTAAACATATTCTTTTATAACTTCCAGTGTCTTTCCACCTATCCCAAACCTCTGCTTTCTGCCGAGATTGTTGCATGTTACTTTAGTTTCATGCAGATTAATTTTCAGTTCAGGCCTACTCCTTTGCTTTCCTTGTCCAGTTCAGTAACCATGAGCTGTAATTACGTTCCCAAATAGCGTCATTGAAATATGATGTTTTGCTATTAGGGAGGGGGGGGGGGCATGAAGCATGAAGTTTGACTTAATGACTCTCCATGTGATCAAATTAAACAAATGGGATGCAGTAATGCAATTTAAAATTCATGGATGCGTTCCTTATTTATGGGTCATACTTCTTATAAATACCATTGTTTCCTGTGATTTCATTGATTTTTTGTCATTTGTCACACATTATAGATTGTCTTCGGGCAGGTGTAGTTGCTTCTTGCTAACTAACTGCAACGAAAAGGGTAGAAAAAGATGAGAAAAAATTACGGAATGAGGCCCGTTGCGTAGAGTGTGCTTTTTAGCGCCTTGTAGAATGGAAGCACAAAATACGTTATGGTCGCTAGAGTGACGCTAAGTTAATTAGCGGCTGTTTTACAGTTGTCCTCTTTTAATGCCTTTATCTTGTCCTCTGTGGGTTGCAAAACCGCCATAGGTCGTCAAAAAAAAAAAAAAAAAGGAGAGCCCACTCAGGCTCGCCCAGGAAATATATTTTGCACTGCAGGCTTACACAGACTCCGACTCGCGACAGTTCTTGTCAGCAGTACTCACTCGCACTCTAGCGTGGCAAAATATTGTTCACCTGGACTCACTCAGATTCACCGCTCGATCTGACCCCCAGTGGGCCGATTCAAGAGTATGTTAGGCAGTCTGTGGTCACAGCTTACTTGTAATGCACATTTTTACAAATTCTGGGTATACTTCTAGCTTATACACTTTTGCTGCAGCTGCTTATACTGTAGTTGTGTGCACAGCAAGTATGTGTATTTATACTTGTGGTTCATTTTCATCTTTTATTTGTGGCATTGACTCGGGAACAACGGGATATCTTACCGGTTCATTATTGATGCTAAGGAATTTAGATTTAATTGTGTTTAAAGCATCGTGTGGTATTGAATTGCCCTCCTCCTATTGAAGAACAACGTAAAAAAAAATCATGATACTACTTGCGAGCACTTCTTACATTCAGCCTTTGTTTGCCGATGAGGCCCTGCCTTTTTTGGTGGGCCCATTTCACCCTGTATGTGTGTTACATTGCTTTTGGGCTATTTACAATTTACAATTACTAATCTGTGTCATTTGTGTATTCGTATCATTAATTTTTCAGCATTGTTGCCATTCCTTTGTGTGTGGATTAGCATTTAGCATTTCGTCTAAGCAGTTAGAGCGTTGTTAGCTCTTAAGAGATAACAACAGCAACTCTTTTCCTGTAATTCGCTGGTTGTAGCGGCGCATATTCCAGGTCAGTAGATTTAAGTACATGTGCTTATTATAAAGCCGTGTACCGAACGGCTGATATGTTTTGAAATGTTGTGGATAGCGCTACAGGTTTGCAAATGAGGCTGTTTTGACAGTGTTCATGAAGTGGAGTGAGCTGGATTTTTTCTAACAGCCGGCAAACCTGAAGGGTTCCAGGTATTGAATCCAAATGGTGTCCTATTTGATTAAGGCCCGTATTCACAAACCAACCTCAACCTTACCTCGAGTTTTCCCTGATCGGCTTTAGGCCTTTATTGCACTTGATGAATAAAGTAGGCCAGTATACATGAACCAATCTTGTTATCTTTTACCATCTTACCATTTCTGTGCCAATATAACACACATAGTAGTACAAGAACTTGAGGAAAACGTGAGGTAAGGCTAAGGTTCGTTTGTGAATATTGACCCAATTTGATAGACAGATGCTTGGGCTAGTTGGTGATTGGGAATCAACATATTTGCACAGTGCAAGACTACGAGTAGCTACGACGTAACTACTCATAGTCTTGCGCTCTGCACTCTTTCTGTCCTTGTCTCTTCTTCTGTAGTTACGTTGTAACACCTCGTAGTCTTGCGCTGTGCAAATATGTTTATTGGCTCAAGTCTTCAAATCTAATTATTGCTATTTATGACTACAAACATTTTTTAATAAACAGTCTATGAATGTTCATGTCTACTGCACTGAAAAAGAAGAGAAGAAAAAAGGTTGGTGCAAAAGTAGTGATGAATGCTATACATACTGGCATATGGGCATAAATGATGAGCTTACAAATTAGTGGAACAGCCTATGTTGCCAGACTGTGCTAGCCATATGATGATTATTCTCATTCTAATGTCTTTTGTACAAGCGAAGAATCTAGTCTTTGTTACTAATGCTACATCTAAGGATTTAACACTAAATTGGTTAATGTTATGGCAAGAACATCACTCTGTAGCAGTTGTTTAATATAGCTGTTCAGTGTTCAACGACTACTCCAAATGTGTTCAATTCACTTCACTTTTGCACTTTTCGACTAGTATTTGATCATGTCTCGAAAGTCTCTTCATGAATAACATAATTTTACCGAACAAGTATATCACATCACCTCTGTGACACCATGTCCTGTCTTCCTGGTCTTCCTGGAGGCCCCTGCATGTGGGGTCATTGAATTAGAATTTTGTTATCTGTTGGTTTTGTGTGCTAATGTGGTGATCATTGCTGGGCTTACGGGCAGGCCAGGGAGGCCTGGGTATCCCCTTGGTCCAATCGGTCCCACGGCACCCTGCATGAAACAGCAGACAGATCAAGCATCGAAACTATTCTAGTGGTGAGGTAATGGTTTGGACCATGGAATATTAAGCGCACTATATACGGTGCTTAGTACTGTATACCTCTACAGCGATGGATTACTAAAGAGACATATCGGCCTCATTCTTAACTCATTGGCTTCCATGGCCGTTCATCCAATGATCGGGTTGGCGAAGCCAAAAGCGCTTTGACTGGCAAATCACGGTCCGCTTAAAAAATGTTTATTTTTGACATTGTTTCATAGATGGCAGCACAGTATTCTGCATTTGCCTTTTTGCTTGGTATATTATCCAATAGATGGACATAGTTGTTCATGTTTTTAGCTGCTAGTGTGTTTTTTTTAAGCCTTACTGGGGAAGGGTGCACTATCCCGGCTTTTCGAAGCATGATGTTGTGGCCCCACCAATGCGCCTATGAGCTGGTAAGGGGGCTCATTTTTTTTAGAAGTACTTGTTGCTGGGCTAGTTGGTTCGTCATATTGAGGGAAAATTCTAGACACACCTAAACCACCACAGGAAGAAAAACGCACAGAAAAAAAGAGCGTCACATCCTAGCAATCAATGTCAAGCAGAATACATCAATACTTTGTTGAGTTTGTGAGTCACACGGTGAAAATTCCGAGAGCCGAGGGGAGTGCGAAAGATGTGAAGTAGCTGTTAATATGCCCGTGTGCTTTAAACTTTTTCACACACGAAGATCATACTAAAGCACCTGATGCAGTCAAGCATTGTTAAGCGAATAAAACAAAGGTTGTTATTCTATGACGTTTGTTGCAGATTTTATTGCTGTTTAGATGCACCGACCCAAGCCATCAGCAGGCGCGGAAATATTCCGATGGAATACCAGGCGGCAACAGCCACGGAGTGTGCTGGAGCTAATGGGTTAAGGGGATACTAGTGTGTTTGACGAAGCTGAAAAAGCACAAAGTAACACCAGCATTTTGGTGGGGATATAAAGGTTAATGCGAAAGAAATGCACTAACATATCCTTTAATTATTTCTCATTACCTTCATGGCTGAGAATGCCGATACTATGCATGTAAATTGTATAAATGGTATTTTCACTTGTTACCTATGTTTGACTCACTTTGCACATGCTTGCTGAGAATAAGCGTAATGTCTAATATATTTTTGTTAATTATTGTCGACCAGCAGGTCGCGGGATCAAATCCTGGCTGCGGCGGCTGCATTTTCGATGCAGGTGAAAATGTTGTAAGCCATGTGCTCAGATTGGGTGCTAATTAAAAAACCCCAGGTGGTCGAAATTGCTGGAGCTCTCCGCTACAGCGTCTTAATAATCATATGGTGGTTTTGAAACGTTGAATCCCACATATCGATAAATTAATCATTGTCAATTCACCAAACTCATTCTCTTTGCCTGCTAAGCCCTCATATGATCCCCCCGTTCTTAATTAGCTGTCCGGCCCTCCACTGTGTTGGCTTTCATGCAACTTGGCCCTCCGCCTCAAAAGATTGCCAACCCTTGGTATAAATCATAAGGCCATACCTTCATGCCATCAGATCCAGGCTCCCCTTTTGGTCCATCAAAACCTCGAGGCCCCTAGAATATAGGCAGAAAAGCACTTCATGTCAAAGGGGTCCTGCTATGCTTTTTCGTCTGCATTCTGCACCACTGGAGTTTGTGTATGGGCGATAAACACAAGAGTAATCGAAATCGGTACATGAAAACGGAAGTTATTAACCTTCAAACTTCAAAGTCACAGAAAGCGGCGAGAAAAGAGCTTGCTTTTGCATTGCTGTCTCCCACTATCGTCAAACGCCATTTACAATCACCGGGTGCCTCTCACAGAGACGAACCAGACGACTCACCTAATGGTGCTCCTAGGATCATTTTGGTACTGTTTTCAGATATTGATATTTAGAAAAAAGATCTCTTGTATCTAAGGAAGTATAAAGAGTGCTTTTTAAATTTTTAGCGTACAACAGTGTGGTTATCTGGGTCGATATGAATATTACGCCTGACTTGTTGCATCGAACTAATCAAACCACATGGCCATGTTGTCACTCCCATGTGGTGAAGCGTCACTTCCGATCACAAAAATAGTCTCTGTGTGTCGCTCTAGTTTGAAAACAGTGTGGTTATTCGTAGGAATAAAATTTTAACAGCTTCGTTATGGCGTTGCCACTTGCACAACAATATCAGTGCATGCCCCAGTTTGAGAAGTAATGAAGACAAGACGCTTAATTTGTGCTGCAGGGCCCCCTCAAGGGTCGAAGTAATAATATTGCAGCAAGAAATTTAGAAGAAGCACAGGGTACTAAAAAAATCTGTTGCAATTAATGGATGTTCCATTTAGTGAGAAGGATGTACAGACATGTGGAATTGTCTGCTGTAAACTAACTTAGCATTGTTAGATGTCTAAAGTATAAATAGTTGATTGTATTGGCTAGTTTATTCAGTGGTATAGAGCCTGTTTAACTGCTAATAAATAGACTGGCCTTTGCTAGTTTGTAAACGGACACATTTTCAAGGCAATTCTGGTGACGGCATTAAAAAAAATGAAAATGTAGGTCTAGTTGTTTTGTTTGCTGGAATGACACTTGTACAAATCCAGTCTTTGTCAGTGTTCATTAATGAAGACTTTCTAGCTAGAAGACGGGTGTCACGAGGATATATTTTACACTGTTTTTTTTAATGAAGACCTTTAAAGCTTGTTTTCATGGTTTTGAACAAAAGCGTTTGGCATTTCTTAGGTGCAAAACTAACAAATTAAGAGACTGTTCTATTTCAACGATTTATATTAGCTAAGATTCTACTTATTACCTATATCTTGCTCTACTTGCACCTACCGTAAGCTTCTTCTCTATAAACTTATCTGGTGAAATCGCTGCAATATCTCAGCAGTGACGGGAAGCAGTTTTTGTGAAGCACACTTTATTAAAGCCTAAATGAGTACTTTTAGCATTGTGGTTTGGTTGGTCATCTACCAAAAACAAGAACTGTACAAGAGGAAAAATATTAAATTGCTATAAATCTTGTTTTTTTAAGTTTGTCTCTGATAGTGACTTTTTGCACAACGCAAGTTTCTGCAGCTTGCATTTCACTCACCTGCTCGCCAGGTACGCCAGACACTCCAGGCGTTCCAGGCTGTCCAATCTCCCCCTGGCAACACGAAAGGGAAAATCGAATTTTATTATTTGTATAGCCAAAAGCTTTCTACACTCAAACCTCAATATAATAAACACAGACATAATGAACTATCAGTTATAATGAAGCAAATTAAAAACAGTTTTGCAATTGATACGGTGTGGGGTATAACATCTTTAACGAATTTTCGAATATAACAAAGTTATTTTCATGTAAGATTCAGCTTTTGTTATAGTGAGGTTTGGGTGTAGTATTTCACATCAGTGTAGCTGCTACTATCAGTTAGTTCTCTTGAGAAGCACTGCCTAATAGGTCTACTGATCGTACTGCACACATCGTGTTAATCTGTCAAGTTTCATTGCATGCCACCCAGCAGTACAGTATTATGGTTTACATTGCAGCTTTAGCATTGGCTTGGAGGCAGGAATGTTGACATCATCCTATTCAACATACTTTTTCGCCCTTTTGACCACGCAGGCCCAAGGCACCAGCTGCTCCAGTGGGGCCCTAAAAGACAGGCGTTCAAGAACAAGTGAGCATTTAATGTGCATCATTGGTAACTAAGTTTTGCTAGCGGTATTGTGTCGTTTGTGTGGAACCTTACTTTCATGAAATATAATATTACGAGATGATTTTAGGGTCACATTTGCTTTGTTAAAAGGACACTAACGAGGAAAAGGTTTTTTTTATTGGTTAATTACTCTTTTACGATTCCAAATCACCTTGTCTGTTGTGAGAAGATGCTTGGTAAGCAGGAAAACGCACGGAAACAAAACCGGTGACATCACCTTGAAAGTCATGCAGCAAACGCCACAATGTTTTATATTTTTGACAGTGCCTGCTTGCTCCTACTTAGTTCCAAATTAGTAAAGAAGACGTATATTTTCCTGTGAAAGGGCCATCAACTTAACATGCCACGTTTCAATGAATTTAATTGAGCCAACGTTGCCATAATACAAAAGATACACTTGGAAAGTCGTGACGTCATCAGTGAGCATTTTTACATGACATTCAAAACTGAAGCTTTCACCTCGATTTTTTTCCCGCGATTAGTGAACATATGAGGGTGAAATTAAGGGTGTGAGAGTTCTTAGAGCAATTAATTTATCTAAACGAATTGATTGTATCACTTTAGTGACCCTTTAAGTCAAGAGTTAAAACTAATTGTTATTAAGCACTGCAGAAACTTGCTTGCAGAAAAGGCTTTCGTCTTTGTTGTACAAAGTGTAGATTGATGATATGGATGCACTAAACAGCAGTTATGATGGACATTTGTTCACTCTGTCTTGTCATTTGTTTAACCTGTCTCCAGTTATATCATCTTGCATGTACTGTACACTTGTGCTGTGATGAGTTGATATTGCAGCTTCAAAGAGTGCCTTTAATTTATTCGTGAAACATTGATGCCAATCTTCGCATGCGACCACAGCTTTTGCAGTGGTTCACTACCAAGTCTTACTTTCATGGACTTTAAGGAGCAAGATTAGTGGTAAAAATATTGAAAAAGAAAATAATTGAACAGCACTGCCTCAGTGAAGAGCACTGCCTCAGTGAAAAACAGCTGGTAAATGTTCGACATATCATTAGTTTTATGCATGCATTTCCGTTCATGCGGTAGGCTTGAGGAATACGAATTTCGGCTGAAATCTGTGTAGGATCAGACGTTAAGGTTTTAGACTATTTAGGTTCATGTACAGTAAAACACCGGTGATTTAGTTGGGGCTTAAAAATTGGTGTATGTTATAAACTATAAGCCAGCTTGGAAGTGCGAGTTGCTACACAGTTGGAAACTCCCAAGTCCGTAGCTTTATCTGAAAATACAAGAAGAAAATGATGATCAAATGAGATGTTTGCGTGCCTTTCTTCGTGTGCACAAAATGTTATCAGTGTAGTACATGTAAGTATACAAAGCAATAAAGTAAAAAGAAAAACTGCACTCTTACGTGTTTCTTTCTCATGTGCTCGAAAAATAAAAACAAATGCTAGAACCATCATTCCAATTTTTTTCCAAATCAAGCTGTAAATTGGTGGCAACGAAAACGGACAATCTCAGCAAGAGCGAAATGCTCCCTGCCAAAGATGCTTTACGATGAAAAATTTTTTCTGGAGATTTGCGGTGAGCGTTCAATTTTAACATCTCATGCTTTCACTTTGTCTTTCCAGAAAAGGCAACATTGTGTATAATGCGTGCCATAGATTTCAATGCAATGGTAAGTGGAATGTAGGGTACTGATCTCACAGGTAGTCCTATAAGACCTGGCTCTCCTCTTGCTCCATCAATTCCAGGTGGACCCTGGGAGTGGAAGTGTTTGGTTAAGGGATGTATTGTGCATTTGTGACTCAGTTGTTAGTGAGGTGGAACTTACACGGTCACCCTTCTGGCCGGCGTCGCCTTGGTAGCCTCTTTCACCCCTATCACCCTGAAAGTGCAAAAGATGTGAGTGCTGTCTCACAGTTTTCGAGTTCAAATTGTTCACTGTGTTCACAGGATTGTGGGACTTGAATGTAGTGAGATAGTGATTCAGTGTTCTCTCAGTTATGCAAATTCCTCTATATAAGGGCTCTCAAACTGGTGGTCCGCAAGCCTTTTGCTAGCCACCCGTGGCTTCGCAAGGAATAAGCTTTTGTGGCTTTGCTAACCAGTATTCGCATTATTTTCTCGCCCATTGCGATTAACGACGTGTTGGTTGGAGGAGCTACATTGACTGGACTGGTGTCAAGTGTTTTTTTCTTAGGCACGCCATATCATCACTATGTGTTAAAGCATCATCGTGGATGAAAACTCAATTTCAGAATTTGAGTCCTTTTGTTGATCGGTACAATATCTTTCACGAAACCCACATAAAATTACCTGTGGATGTGATCCATACATAAGATGGAGAAAGCATTCTTTCAAGTTGCTGCGTGACATTTTGTTCAAAATCTCTCCCCCCTCCTCCTCTTCTGCGCTCCAATTTTCTCCACTGTCCCGGCATTTTTTTTTATTTTTTTTGATGAAACCGCCAGCTGAGATGAGTTTGATAACCCTGCTCTATACTTTGGTAAATATTAAAATATTTGTACCATCTGAAGTCTGTAATAACCGTTACAGAACACAAGTTCAGCCCTGCTTGCCAGTTACTAAATATGATCCTTGTGCACTGTATGTCTGTTTTTAGGGTTTTATTCTATATCTTATGCCCCCGTTAGCTCAAATTAATATTTTGCAACATCTGTAATCATTTACTGACACTTTATTTCATTGTGCGTGTGTGCGCTATTGTTATTTTCTTTTTTGGTTGTCCACTTGCAATGGTCCTTATAGGGACCAGCAGAATAAATTAACGAACAAATAGAGTGAAGGTTAAAATATCCTAATTTTGCTTGCAATTACTGCCTTCAGTTTAAATGTTTTTGTCACATACTGGGCCTTTCTTCTTGTTTAGCGCATTCTTTCTTGTCATAAGTAAAAATGTCAGACTCATTTCTGTAGTTGCTATGTCAACACTTTACATCAAATGCTGTGAGTTCTTCACGAGTGTACATATTTTGGCCATGATGGTAAACCACTGAGTGTTCACATATAAGCTTGCTTAGGTGCACTGTAACTGTACTCCCCTAATCGTTATGGCGGTATTTAATAATGGCTAAAAAATTCAGTTTTCACGGCAACTCGAAAGAACAGACGTATCATCTGAAATCTGAATGCGGTGCGCTTACTTGAATCTGAACAATTTTTAGTTTGTGTAACAGCAAAGTTCAGTTCAACTACGACCTTGTTATGGTTCAGCTGTATCGTGCGTGATTGTAACTGTAAGGTAAGTGCCAACCTTTGGACCTGCCACACCAGGAAGACCACGAACACCACGATCACCTTTTTCACCCTGTTATAACAGTAAATAAAATAAAGTGAGTACAAATTGTTACCTCGTCACCGTTCTTGTACACTGCATTGTCTTATGTAAGAAGGTAGGCAACCTTTTCGCAACTGTCTTAGCTTTGTCTAGGAAGGGGTCTGTGAACAAAGTCAAAGTCAGTCATTTAGTTATTCTTACAATATAAAAGTGTTCATTTTATTCAATTAAATGGGAAAACAGTGACATCTCAGAGGATTTCATCACTTTTGCGAAACTCTTAGGGCAGTTTTCAGCCGCTATCTGGATGTAAAGATATTTATTGATTGCCTTGATTTTGTAAAGGAAAGTAGCCGGTGCAAATAGCGACACAGTGCCTGAAAATGGTGATTTAGAGTTGTGAATGTTGAAGGCATTAAATGATTTCTTTTCAAAATGATTTAATACTGGAAATTTTCGGGATAATAGGGGGATACATCTATTTTCTCCAAGCACAGTTTTTTTTAAACATCTATGAGTTAACACTGCTCTTCATTAATACCTTGTCTTAATATTAAGTTGATTGTTTAAAATTTGCATGCACATAAGTGTAAATAATGTAGTCAGATGTGCAAAGTGTTCACACTAATGGGTTCAGATTGCAGCAGGACCAAAACACCACTTACCTTCTGACCTTCCATGCCTTGCGGGCCAGATACACCAGGGCTGCCCTTTTCGCCCTGCATGAACGTTGAAACACAGCTATTCTCCTTTTACAATTGTCACTTTATGATGTGAGAAGCATTGGCAACTTCTTTGCGTTGGCACACAAATAATGTATGTCTCTATATTGTGCTGTATAACCTGGAGATGAATACCCCTTGAAGTGTATGGCAGTAAACTTCTTCTCAGTCCATATAAAGAAGTGGACAACTTTGTCTACAGAAGCTTAGGAGTGAACGTTCAGTACAGAAGTATAGAAGATTGTAGTGTTCTTAAAAAGGCCCTAAACCATGCTTGATCACTTTTTAACATTTCAAGTAAATACTCAAAGTGAATTCAGAATGGTGTCACAGAAATCAGTGTGTCATGCAGCAGTACTGTGAGCCACGGGTCTACCACAAGTTCCAGGGAACAATACCTTCTCCTATATGTACCTTTCAGTAATCCTAAGCATTGGTCATGACGTGGCTTCAACATTCACGTGTGATTGTGTTATCCACAAAAATAAGCTGTTTTTCTGCTCGCAGGTAAGCGCGCTCACCACTCGTCCTCTATAGCACGTTGAGGGGAGTTCTCGGCCAGGAAGAGAGATGAGCGGACGAACAGTGCATATTGTAGGGAATAGCGCAACGAGTGAAGGCCTCTTTAGATAATGAAAACAGGAGTGACTCCGCTATTATGGCACCACTTCAAGAAATGCTTGCGCCTGCAAGAATTTGTTGCAGATGCGCGCTTGTTGAAGACACGTGCGCAGCTGCAACACCAAAACGAAATTTCAACTTCGGGGTGGTTTAGGGGACCTTTAAAAAGGATTTCTTCGTGCTTTACCTGTGGCCCTAGTGGTCCGGGATCCCCAGGAACACCAGGAGGTCCAGGTAAACCCTGCATTTTGGGAATTACATTATCAAAAAACTTGTGCAAGGCTGAGTTTTCCAGCTAAGTGAAAATGTGAAGCAGTAAGTAGAGGTAGAACAAAAGGGTGTCTTCAAAGCCAATGCATTCTCAAAGTTTGTTCCCCTGTACTGATGTCTGCTCGAGATATGTTCCGTGTTTTGCTACTTCTGATATTCACAGTTGAACATGTGCGACTTCAAGTTTACTCAAAATTACTCTTGCTGAGTAACGCTTACTGCAAAGCTGCCTGGTTTTATGTTCCAACTGCGAAGTTTACATACTGCGTGTACAGTTAGTGTGTGAAAAATGAAAAATACTAGGAAACAGAGAATGTTTTTAAATATAAACCAAGAAAACCTAAGAATTTTTGTCTGTAAATTTTAAGCATTGTATTAAACATGTAACTGTGTGGATTGTAGATGTAAATCTAGATGAACCAAGTTCCAGAGATGCATTCATTTGGTATTCCTGTCGTTGTCTTGCTTGTTTAAAATTTCAATTTGGAATCTATGCTTATAAATTTCTATTTGTATGCATTATTTTAAATACATGCATGTAGTATGAGGGAAGTGAAAATTTTGTGTGGTAAATAACAATCATAACAAATCATCAAATGTGATGAAGTTACTTGAATTTCTCTCATCAAGGTGACTGTGAAACAAATATATGTTTATTGTACATATTAAATACTAATATGGTTATATTCATGCCATTTGGAGCCTCTATATATAACATGATATGGCTCCATTATGTTTGCTCAATTTCGAAGACTTACATTTGGAATAATATTATTAGGGTCTTACTTACGATGCTGGTATTAAAGGCGAAATTAAACCACTTCTAAACTCACCGGAGACAACGACCCTGTTCCCGTGACTCCTGCGAGACCGTCACGACCAGGGAGACCCTGGGGGGGGGGGGGGGGAAGAGTATTGCTTTTTAAGAATAATACCTGACAGTGTCATTAATTTCGTAAAAGCATCTAACTAATTTGGTGATTGATATCATTGCGGTCGTGCACAATATTTCCAATATTTTTCTAATCACATGGCCTTTGGCAGTAAATTTCCGCAATCACAGGTATTCAAGGAGACAAGTTTGTGCATCCATTTATCGCCCTTCATAATGGTTCTGCCGCCATGGGGCTGAGGGTGCGGTCGATTCCCAGCTGTGATGGCAATTAAGTGAGACTTGAGAGAAACCTAGGGGCAAAGCTCCCTAGGCCGTGGGTTGTTCCCTCCTCTGTAGTCGTTATACTAGTATGTAGCCACGTTTAGTTTATGAGTTGCTCAATAGATGGCGTTGTGTGTATATGTCCTTGTGAATAATATAACTATGTGACGTTAGTGGTTTTCACAGAATATCCTCAGAGTGAATGATGAGTGGGGCAAAGAGTACGTCCGTCCGTCCGTGCGACCATCCGTCTGTGCATCTGCCTGCTTGCCCTTCCGTTCTTCTGTCCGTCCGCTCGTGCTTCCGTCCATGCTTCTGTCCTTCCATCCATCCGCCTGTCTCTCTGTCTTTCCATGCTTTTGTCTCTTTCTGTTTCTCCACCCGTTCGAGCTTCCGTTCGTTTGTCCATGTTCGAGCTTCCGTCCGCCCGTGCTTCTGTCTGCCCATCCGTGTGTCGGTTCGTGCGCCTGGACAGACGCATGGATGGACGCTTCGCCTCGCTCATCATCATTCACTTCGTAGATATGCCGTGATCTTTTTTTATAATCAACAGACCTGATGCGCAAAGCAAAATTTTAAAGACAGGACAGGCAAAGACAAGCTCTTGTCCATCTTTATCAGGTTTTTTCTGCTTTCCTTCACACTTCAAGGTTTTTAGGGAAGCTACACTGGAATAGCCATTTTGATGGGCGTGAATACTTCGACCCGTCATCATCAGAACACATTCAGTTACTGCAAAAAGTGGCAAGCCATAATGTAATTGTGTAGGTGCATTTAACACTAGGCTAGAGTAGACATAATTTAAGGGCTAATGGAATCACAGAATTGGAGTTTGCCCATGGTCTGTGAGACTTTATGCATAACTTCTGAGAGTGTATTACTCTTACTGAAGTGCATTTCGTTCCTCTTGTTTGTGCCGAGAGTTGTGAAAACTCCATCTCGTCAAAATGATGTTGTTGAATGAGAACCAAAAAACGAGGCGCACTGCTCGTCAAGCTCTGGCCAATCACAGGTAGCTGAAATAATTGTCCCCTAAGTGGGCAGTTAAGTTCATGAATAGCTCTGTAGCTGCGATGGTACTTTTGGGTCATGGCAAAATTGAAAAATCATTGTCGTTTTAGATTTAAGCATACTCTGAAAATTGCATATAGTCAATGTTAACCTGCAGGCCTTAAGAAAAATTTTTCGCTCAGCCACGTAGTAAACCACTTTGGTGTCCTCTTTTGTCTATGACAGTGTTCTTTTGCTCACTGATGTTGATCAAATGCACCTGCTTTTTCATATGTACTAAAAACAAACAGAGTATGCTCCTCTAGCATAAGGAAATATTTGGTGTGCAACTTGGGGTTGATTACAAACTTGGCACAGCGATACATTTGATTTTATAGCTCTTTGTGAGCTCCAGTGTACAGTGATTTTCCTGGAGCAATACAAGCACTTGTACCAGAATATGCGTACACTTTATGCCATATTTTTTTTTTTTTGTGAAGGAAGTAAAAGTTTAAGTACTAACAGGTAAACCACGAGGGCCGGGGCTTCCCGTTGAACCTTTGAGCCCTGGTTCACCCTGCAATAAGACAGGAAGTGAGTCAGAAACAATATTCTGTCCCAGTGTTTTTTTTCTCGCAGATTTCTCAATTCTGCATGCACGCTTTGCTTTCTAAAGATAACTCCAAATTGGCATATTGACATATATAATAGCATGCATATTATACCACCATCATGAAATTAAATACAAGCTGTTAACACGTTCACGATAGATCCCAACTAACTGGCCCAACTTACCGTCTTACTGAAAATAAGTAGCCTGCATATCCCACGTGTAGTGTGCAACGTGTAATCTCGCTGTGACCGGTTTCCACCCTCAGAGTACAAGTTTTGACGTCTTGTAGTTTGAATTAATCCATACTTACAAACGTATAAATGCAATTATGCATTGGAGTATTATTTCGTATTTCTCATGCTTGCATTTATGGCGACGTTAGCATGACCATGAATTCAAAAACTAGGTCTGAGTGGATTGTTACATGGACTTAATATCAAGCTTGTTAGTGTAGTGTTGATCAGTATATGCACATTCTGGAACTGTAATCGATCTATGTGTACAGATGCAGGTGATCTCATTCCAGTAAAGATGCAACATAATTTTTCTCCTTTTTTAAAAGAATTTATGCTGCTAATAAGACCACTGGCTGGACTTCTAGCCACTGTAGATTTGTCATGGCTGTTGCTTAACATCTGATGAGTTGCCTTCTAGAAGGAAAGCTAATGAGAATATGTTTGGATTTTATAACTATTGTGCCCTGTAATCTCTCTAAGTGTACTGCTCTGAATATTTTCATAAAGTTTCGGAGTAAGCATGTACTGAACACAATGTACCAATTTATGTTCATGCAGGTTAACAATATCTCGTGCTCATAATGTTTATTCAGCTGCTCACTATTTGCATGATGTGATGAAAGGTGAATCGTAATTTACCCGAAATCCACGAGGACCTGTTGCTCCTGTGTTGCCTGGTTCACCTGGCTCACCCTGTTCATGGCAAAAACGAAGTTCTTATGTAAAACCATGATCTATCATTGTCATTGTAGTCTCTTTATCCTGTTAGCATTAGTGATGATTTCTCTCTCACTTCAAAAATTTCACTTAATTACTTTAATTCTTCATACAATTTTGAACAAACAGGTTCTGTAGCGTAACGGTATCAATGAGGACAGAAACATCACGGGAATGAAAAAACAATGAGTAATATTTGCACTGTATATATGATGGACGTCTCAACGTTACGATAATGTTTTCAGAAAAGCTTTTTCACTAGCCTAATAAAAACAAGTCTTTTCTTCTTCTTCTTCTTCGTCTTTTTTTTTTTTCATAATGTGGGCATTTGGTTCGAGATCTCCTTGTTGGTGCAACTTTTAATGAACAGTAACAGTAACAAGTACAATATGGCACCCTCTCTAGTTTTCGTTCTCGCACCGCCACGCTGGTCTAGTGGCTAAGGTACTACGCTGCTGACTCGCAGATTGCGGGATTGAATCCTGGCTACGGCGGCTGCATTTTCGATGAAGGCGAAAATGCTGTGGGCCCGTGTGCTCAGATTTTAATGCGCGTAAAAGAACCCCAGGTAGTCGAGAATTCCGGAGCCCTCCACTACGGCATCTCTCATAATCATATAGTGGTTTCGGGACACTAAACCCCACATATTAAATCATCATCACTTTTCAATCCCGAGTCTGTTTGGCTGAAGTTACACCATCATTCTACCCACCATTGAATCAGTCTTCGCAATTTTTTTAAGGATAACTGTCAGATGTGCAAAGCATTAGATTCTTAAATCATGAGCCAGCAATACTAACAAATGTTGGGAAACAGTCAGGTAACATTATCCAGTGCTGAAGAACACTAGCAAGTATTGGTGTTCATCAAAGAACCTTTCACTTTTTCTCGTTTTTCTCGTCTGTGAGGACTTCCTGTATGAAACTTTCTTTTAAAAATATTGGATGTAGCAGTGTACGACTTTCATTCGTTATATCATGTTGTACAACAGTTTTTATGTTCTACTTTACTTTACTAGAGAATGTTTTGTCAATTATAGCTCTGAAATATCGTATTTTTTTTTTATGTGTAAGAAAACTGCTAAAACATTGGCTTGCTATAGAATGCTTTGCATTAGTATTAGACCTGGTGGAAAATGTACAAGTGAAAAGAAATAAATGACGCTAACAGAAATTAATCTGACTCAAATAAACCATAATTAAAAATTTTATGAATAAATTCGTAGGCCTTGTCATAGTGAAATTGCAGTTGACATGGAAATGCATCCATTATAACTGACATTCATTGTCATAATGTATTTATAGCATGTTGATATTCATGGGACATTTTGGATTTGCATTATTACGCTTCATAATTCACATTCATTATAATGAGGCTCAGATACAATGAGCTTTTAATCACGTCAAAATTTGCCTTTGCCATTCAAATTTCTTTGACATGATTCAGTAAAATATCAAATTATGATGCACTAAGCTGTTAAGAACGAGCGTACATTAGATGCAAATTCTTGAAGTTAGCAAAAATGTGGAGCTAGTGATGCTGCTGATGGTTGTCTACCTTTTTCATTTTATTGTTATTTAATTTAGAGATTTCAGCAGGAAAAAGAGAGGAGTAATGAGTACAATGTTAATGCATAAAAAAGTAAATTAGTTTGAACACAACAAGTTGAAAGATAGTGATATAGCTCGATGATGTTAGACATTGTCAGTTAACATCTTGTAGCTATGTACATGTCAGCCAAAGCTGTGATGATACCTTGCTTCCTGGCAGTCCCAAGGGTCCTGTCATTCCTTGCAATCCTTGCTCCCCCTGTTTGGGAAGAATGAAAGTGCAGTTAAAAAGTGGTTCTAGTCTGCAGGAAAAATTGAATTCAATTCGCTCTGGAATGTGGTCAATAATTGTGCAAGACTTTAGCGAGCATTTTGTCATGGTCGCGTTTCGATGGACGCGAAATGATAGAGGCTCGTGTGCTCGGCGAACGTCAGTGCGCATTAAAGAACACCAGATTATCGAAATTCTTGGCAGCCCTCCGCTACACTGTTTCTCATAATCATATTGTGGCTTTGGGATGTAAAACCTTAGATATTATTGTTATGTATATTATCAGCACTTTGTCGTTGCACTAAATCTGCATTGTTTATCAATGATGTTCCACGCTGTTTCACCAGTGTTTCAGCAAGGAAGCAGGTAGCAATACATCAACAAATGCTTCATTTAATTGCATCATGAGCTGTGGGCCTGCTTGGAGACGTGGGAAGCTTTTTGTCAATTTAACAGTTCAGCTTTTTCTTTGTTACCACAGCATCGAGTGCCGTGGAGTGTGTCATGTTTCCTGTTCATGCGAGGTGTTCCGGCACCAAGTGGTTTAAGAAATCGCAGTAATCTTCACCAAGTGTGGAGGCTGCCCTTGTGCATAAATGAGCATGGGGTAAAAAGTGTGCTTGGGGTGCCACAGGTTCCCATGCATTCGAACAAATTGTTCCGGAAGACCTATCTATGCGGAGTGTAAGTTGAACAATGAATGTATACATTCTACAGAGTTTCGGCTTTTTTGATCGGATATTTTAGATGGCTAGAGGGTTGTAGCCTGTCCAGTGTCCAGTATTCACAGTAATAGCAGTGATTCTGTAATGCCAGATTACTGAATGTAGGTAATGACATCTTGCAATGCTTCATTGCAATGCCTTGTTCGCACGATTTCATCTTCCCTGAGTGTTGTAAAAAAAAAAAAGATATTTAGAATATCAATTTGTCCATGACTGCATTGTTGCTGAAAATTTTCTAGCCACAGTGAGAGAGTAAAAACTCAGTTGTTACAATAAAAGCTTTGTGTTTAGTTGATTTTTGTGACATTAGATGTTGCCATGATCCCAGTGGTTCACAGTTGTTTCTCTGGTAATCTACGAATGACAAAAAGTGTGCACACTAAAGCACACTTTTTGACATTCCACTACTAATGAATGCTAGAAAATAGAGCATTGTTCTGATTTAGACAGCAGACCAAACTTGCTAGTATATGAAAAGAACTGGGAGTACTGACGCATAGTCCTTCCTGCCTTCTGTACCCTACTTCAAGACATTTATGCAGACTAAAATGAATACAATGCTGTGAGGCATGCACACCTGCTTTTCATATAGCAGAATGCAGCGTTCGACCAGCTGCTGCTTGCTAAATCTAAAAATGGACCAAGAATGCTCGCTAACCGGCTTACAAGGTTTGTCCATAGAGTAATGAGACTGGGTCTGGTAAAGAGAACTTGTTGATCTCATCAATGTATGTTATATAAATTGCTAGCAGTTTTCTTGGGCGTCAATTCTCTGAATGCAAAGTGATTCCGACCCTGTAAAGACTTCCTGAAAGTCGGCTGCCATGACCTCTTTTCGAGAGCCTATTGTATGGTGGGAATACCATCAAAACAATGGTATTTTAGCTTTTCTAGACCTTGAGGAACTGGGAGAAGTCTGCCGGGCTCATATCGTGGCTGCTGCAGTCCTGATACAGGCCCGATGTGGGCCTGACAGATTTATGCCATTGCCTAAATATTGCAAGAAGCCTGAAAATTCACCGTTTCCATGGTGTTTCCGCCATCAAATGGGCTGTCACAGCAGCTGACTTTCGGGGAGCCTCTACTGCATGGGAATTGCGTTGTACTCTGCTTATCAGTGACCAAGAAAGTCATATTGAAGAATTCAAATAATGCGTACCGAACGGACCAATAAATTCTTCGTACCAGACCCAGACTTATTACACAGACAAACCCAATACAGTGCATTAGTAGCAAAATGAAGTGGCACCATCAATGACTCGCTCTCAATGCGAAGTAGTTGGTGTTACAGTTGCAAGTGAAGGCAAATCTACGACCGTTGTTTGTGGAGCCCATGGGGTACCTTGGAACTCTGCTTGAGAACCTCAGTTCTATGCTGTTGGAAATTCGGATAACTTACCATCGGTCCTGGTAGCCCAGGAACTCCAGGAGGCCCTACCGGTCCTTCAGCCTGTGCCGGCGAAATGTAGTCAGCCGTTGCAAGCTTTTTTAAAAGAATGATAAATGCGTTGTGCGAAAAGTTGGCCTAGTGCCCTTGCACATTGAGGTATACGGTAATAGTAGTGAGTTTTGAAATGGAGGCCCCAAAAGTTTGGGGCCCCAAAGTTTTTTAGGTGTGCTTGCTTTGGGTCAAGCAGGAGCGATGAGTTTTCGAATAGGGTCTGCGGCGCTTTGGAGACATTCCCCCTATTCTTTGTCACTATGTCACTCTAGTCTTAGCCGAGAGTCGTCTCTTCAGTGGGTGCTGTCATGTTTTTTGACCCAATACTTTTGGGGCAGGCTTTGGGGCTGCCGCTCAATTTGAGAAATAGGGTCCCCAACTTAAAACTCAAACACGGTTTGGGTTTTGCGCATGCACAGTGGCCTTGACGCTATTTCTTTGCTCCTATTCGGAAACTCTCTAATGTAGCTACTAATATTATAAATTGAGTGTCAGTGCAGTCTTACCAACTTTTCTGTTCATAGGTGTTTACTTCACAACTCTAATAATGCTCAGAGTAGTGACCTGGACACTGCTTTGATTTAATATTCGAGTTCTTTTTAGATATGGAAGGCTAAAAAAAACTTTTAAAATATCTAGTGTATATCAAGTACTGAGCAAACTTTATATTTTCTGGCTCTCAACATTTGCTTTGTCGTGTAACCTTGTTTTGAGATATTGTGGCAGTTCCTTAAAAAAAAAGCCCTGATGCCGAGTTTATTAGTTATTGGCAAATCCACTTTTCTTTATTGGTACATGCAGCATGAATGTAGAGAAATTTAAATAAAGACGAAATAGTTTCATAGTTTGATTTTGACTCAACTTACCACTGCTGTGTTGCCTGGAGGCCCTTGAGGTCCTCTTGGTCCCATTGTCCCAGGGACACCCTAAACCAAATGATTCAGTTGAATTTATTGGCTCTTTAAAGAGAAAAACAGCATAATGAACATTACATAAACACTCATCATATACTTACAGGAAGCCCTGGTTCTCCAGGTATTCCACCATCTCCCTTCTGGCCTTTCAGACCCTAAAATAAACATATAGGATTGAATAAACGACAATCTTAAAAAAAAAAGTAGCACTGGAGTGAATGCTTAAGTATCAAGTACTAACCTAAAAATGGTGTTCAGTCAAAATTTTTTTTCCTTTCGGAGGGGGAGGGGGGATTGGTAAGAGGGTTGGGTGATCTCACTCTTTAATGTATATTTGTGTGTGTATTTATATTAGTGAGCATAGTAGACACATACAATATGTAAAAATTTAGAGAGCTTTTGAATTTATAAAGCGCCCCCCTGGCCACACCGCAAGATCACGCTCCCCATTTGGCAGCTGTGAATGGTCAGACTACTCGTTTGTTGATTCCTGTTCGCAGTTTTACTGGTCACTGCACCAATTGCTGTTTGTGTCTGTATGACCATATTCTCCAGCTAGCTCCAGCACACTTGAGTTTTAACTACTAATTTTCTCACTTCAAAAGTATTCCAGAAGATCTGTAAATCAAAGTGCAAATATAATCTGCAACATCTATAATACAAAAAAGGCTATGGGTGTGTGTAGGACTTTGTTCATTCAAGCTGCTACATGACCATAGTTAGCCTTCAGTAATGCTAAGTTGCTGTCATTTAAGTTGAACATTGTTTTTATTGAAACAAAGATGTTACATAGCTAACACTTTCACGGTCTCCCTAGCTTTTCAGTTTTGCTCGCTTTCGAGATTCGCCAGTGAACACAGGGAAATATGTCTTTGTCCGCAGCACTGAAGTGTTGGGCTTTATTTTGTGGAGTCATTTAAAGATCACGAATACTTGTGCAGCCCAAGGTTTCCGAAAGTTTCTTGTTACCTATACATGCATGAATTTTGGTGAGAAAATCTTAAATAATCAGGAGTTGCGCATAATGACTGCAACTATCAAAATATAAATCACAAGCGTACCGGACTGCCAGGGATTCCTGGTGTCCCAGTGTCGCCCTTGGGGCCAGTAAGTCCCTGCTCAGGAGAAGAATGTTTATACTGTAGGCAACGATAAATGACTGACGTGAGATTTTTCAAAACAGTCATCATCTTTTGCCGAATAGAGAGAAGTTGCACTTACCAATGGTCCGGGTAATCCGGGCAAGCCATCAACTCCGGGTAGTCCCTGATAATGTTTGCAATTGCACGAAGCACATATGTAACTGTTATATAAGTGCCTTGGTTTTGAGGTGATAAACAGTGCGCAAACTGGTGAAAAGACTTTTTAAAGATGTCTTGAAATACACATACAGGGCATTCTTAAAGGGATAATCTACGAAAGCCAGTTGCAGCTGCACGTTTAAGTATTGTTTGCATTTGGCTAGGCTTTCAGCAACTCCATCCTGAACTGTACGTGTCAAAGTGAGCTTGAAGATCAAGTTTATGAGGTTGTTTTAGTTTGCGCATTTGAATATGTGTGCAAGAGCATTAAATATCCTATAGCTTCAATTCAAATGTTGTCTTTATCAGTTCGGCTCTGTTGGTTGGTCGTTCACACGTAAATTTAGAGTTATTTCAAGGTCGTGGCTGACTTGCTGCCTCTTTGATCTTTTATGTCTGAAGATGCAGACATACCTAAAAAAAATAATAGATAAACTGTGGACAATGGGAGGCTAAAAGCATTTGGTGCTTTAAAAAACTCACTTTCTCTAAACTAATATTTCAAAAAGTCTGGCCTCGGCATCCACAGCCAACTTTCTTCCCCAGTCCTTGAGTTCAGAGGGAGTTAAATGAAATGCTTAAATGCCCTCACTCCCGAGCAGACTGCTACACTTTTCTTAGCTGTTTGGTTTCCTAATCAGTCACATGCTTACAAGTGGTTCCTGCATTCAAAGGGCTCATTGTTTAATCACTACATGCATGGTTAATGGTGTCTAAGTGCAAGTCCCGGGACTGATGAATCAGTATGAATTGAATGCCTTCAATTATTAGTTGATACGTGACCAGTAACAGTTTGTTTACAGCTTCCTTTTTTTGAGTGATTGCCAATGAGAATAGGGAAAAAGTGTGCGAGGGTTTTGATTATTTGCATGCTTTAGTTGAAGATTATTTTTTTTTTAACTTGTCATACTCACTGGTAACCCTGGAGTGCCAATCTCGCCTTTGAAACCTCGCAACCCGGGCACTCCAGGGAGTCCGTTCAGACCTGGTGTGCCTGGCAGACCCTGCATTGTTTCGTTAACAGTTCAATTGATTTAAATATTATTAATTGCGCACATTTCGTTTCATTGCCCACACAATGTATGCTCCCATAGGCAGTGGCGAAACAAACTTCTGGACGAACTTTACTAAGTCCTAAAAAAAGCTGTTAATATAAATCTGCTTTCACGAAATATGTAAGAAAGAGCTTATTTAAAAATAAACATATTACATAATGATTATTGCTTGACTAGCCAGCTTTAAAAATAACTCTTCTTTACAATGCATTTGCATCATGCAGGTTGCTTTGTGGATCTCCCGTGTTCAGTGCATCCTCTGTCTAATTTGTTAAAAGAGAGTTGCATTATGCATATATTTGTCAGTTAATTTGAGATATCTGACATATAAAACTTTTTAGCTAACTTTATGGCTAGTTTGCTCTATCCAAGTACGTTATTCTGTGAATAGGACTTGCAACGTTTGCATATTTACAGCATTTACTTATAGCTATCTTTGGCTAGTCACTGACCAAGCACTGCGTCACATACTGAAAGAGCTGCAGGTTAACCCAGTCTAGAAATTTTTAAGAGCATTTTTTTTTTCCTTTTTCTGTGTACTGGAATCGTCTTGTGCAGAAATAGTTTGAAATGCGTTACATCACACCAGTGTAGAGGCACTGTGCTTTGTGCACCACACCTAAGCCGGGGACTCTCAAGCTTAAATTTTCTTGGCTCACATTTACCAGTTTTTATAGACGTTTAGAAAAAAAAAAACGAAGCACACTGCAGTGAAAAAGCTATCAAAACCCCGAATGATGCATGGTTGAGTTGCAAGTGTTGATTACAGCTTATGTGTACTGGTTAGATCACAAAAGGAAGTTCGGCTTGTCAGGCCACATATGTCGGGTACTAATATCCGTGTTCTTTGCTTTAGCCACATAGGTATTTTGGCTGTCACCTTCTGTAGTAGCTGTTGTAGCTGAGGGACGTTATGCTGCCGGGTGTGAAAATGTGGATTCGCGTCCTAGCTGATGCTACTGTATTTCAGAGGAGTTAGAATGCGTAGATAGTGTGTCTAAGATTTAACTGCATGATGAAAACCTCCAGGTTGCCAAAGTTTATTCGCACTTCCCCTCTCAGGTGTGTCTCGATTTTATGCTTTTTTTTTACCACGGCAAGCCTTCGAATCAAGTTTATGAAAAGTTCTGTTTACTATAGTTAGTTGAGAGTCTACTGCAGCCACAGCCCGGTGCACATGAAGGAGACTGTGAAGATTGAAATTCTCTGTCTCACACTCACGTTGGTGCCATTCAGACCTGGTGGGCCTGGCGGACAATCGATGCACGCCGACTCCAGGGACGCACTGGGTTCCGTAGGCGTTGGCAGTGTAGAGGTCGGCAAAGTCCCTTGGGGCTGCACAGATATCAAGTTCAATGGGTCACGCACACTTATGCCAAATCAGCGTTGCGCTGCGCTACTGCAAGTCGACGTCATTTCTAAGATTATTCGTGATCTAGATTGCACTAGTTGTATTCTTGTAGCAGCACCAATGAAAATGCAGCTTAAGAAACTAAAAAACATGTTCCACTTGTTCCGTGTGATTGTCCGGCGTATGGCATGCGAGGCATGTTCTTTGGACAGTGTTAAGACACTTGGATGAAAAATTTCTAAATTGGCCCTTTTCGTAAAAGGGCTCCCCAAGCGCTCATTACGGGAACTACTCCTTTCCGCCATGTATAGGGCGACGGAGCAGACGACAACAACAGCGTTTCATGTAGACGCAGATGCTGCTCAGCGTTTGAGGGACACGTAAGGGGGTGGGACTTCTTGTGTGCTCAGAAACGTGAAGTCACATCAAGTAAATTAAAAGAAATGCAAATATCTTATTGGTGTGTGCTTCGTTCTGTCTCAAATAGCTCTACAAAAAAATAACTGAAGCAATTTTTACATATTGCGTTGAAAATACGGGCGCTATTGTGGAACTACTTTCACTGGCGATAGGATGCACGTACGAAGCGCGCGCACACACCACCTGCCCTATACATGGTGGCTTCTATCCCAGAACCCTTTGCAAAAGCGATACTGACGAAAAGCTCACCGTCAGGCAGCGTATTTATGAAAAGGGTCTATAGCACAAGAGGTTAATTGCCACTGGCTTCTGCTTCATGTGTCTGTGATGTACTGGGCTGCAAAAGCATCGCTGCGCTTCTTAAAAATGGCTGCCTGTAAGAAAGTGAATGTTGAGTGCTCCTATGTGTGCATGTGTTTGTGCTAAGTATGATTTACTCTTCTCATTTTTCAGTCCCTTAAGATTCGGCATGGTTAATCTGGGGGCCTTTTCCTTATGACATCTATCTCTCTTGACCTATGTAATAGTACCTGATGGTTCTAGTTGAACTTGTTAGTTTATGTGCATTGCATACAATGTAAAAATAATTTCATTAGCATCACATTCTCTTATTTTTTATTTCAAAGGTTTGGAGGAGTGTATTTTTGTCCATTTAGATGACTCAGTTATATCTCTCTTTTTTTATTTTTTTAAGCGTGTTTAGTTGCAAAAGTGTGCTTGCATAGTCAAGTGGACTGAGCTCTAACAAATAATCGCTGATTTTCTTGATTGTTGGGATGCTTTGTAGCGCAGATGGACATCGGTGTTTGCTCAGAAATTGCTGATGCAATTAACTGTTTCATAAAGTTATACTCATCAGCTTTCAGTTATTTCTGGGTCCTGCCAAGCTGTAATCATAAAATTTAGCCGAGCAAACCTTTCATTTATTTGCATAGTAAATGAATTTCATTTCGAATTCTGAAACTAGGGGTGGTGCTATAAAAGTAAGATTGCGAGCCTGTCGTCTGAACATCAACTTTTCAACAGGCGCTGCCTGTTTTGCAGAAATCAAAAGCTGAATGATAGGTGCTCAGTGTGTACTTTGCAGTGCACTGTTCGACACCAGTTTTCTGTGTTGTACTTTTTAGATGTGAGACACCAGTACTGCGCTCCTGTGTTTTTGAGTCAATTTTCTTTCAACTCTTATAGGGCACAGATCTGTAATGAAAGTTTAAGCATTGAATACTGACTACTTCAACTGTACAATAACAATGTCAAACATAGAGGGATGGCTCAAAAGCTAATCAGGAAAAGTTTCATGGAAAATATTTCGGCGATTCCGGTTCACACTGTTAGTTGTGAAATTTCGTCAATCAGGGTTACCTCAGTTACGGCTTGTTTTTCAATCATACGTCATAATACAATAATTTTATACAGGCAAGGGTCTTAAAAATGGGGAGGGTCTACAACGTGCTCCTTCAGTGATTGTTATGCATAAAAGTGGAATACAAACCAGAAACTGCAGTCTTATAAAGGTGAAAAAGAAGCAAAAAACTGACTGAGGATTCAGACAAAAAGCTAAGGAACAAGGTGAATATGCAATCATCACTATATTACAGTCACAGAATAACAAAGTTAATCAGACAGTAAATAATTGTTTAGTTGGTATTTGAATTAGTGCAATGTAGGTGTCTAGTATTTAATATGGCTGACTGTTCCAAAGTACAAGCGCGCAAACACAAAAGTCATTTTTCGCTTAATTTTTATGACACAAAGGTAATAGGAAGTTACCTTCTGGAAACCTTGCATTATTAGGATTAAGGAGTGGGTCAAAACTAATGAAGTAGTGAGAAGTTTTTTTATGCAACATTTTGTTTAGTGTTTAGCTTGTAATGCTTTTATTTTGCAATAGTCTCAGGACTTTTTGGTAGAATTTCATTTTACCTGCAGTTCAATGCATGTCTCTCTTTCTGGCCTTGCAGCATCGCAGCTCATTACCATCCATTGCAGGTCCATCTGAAAGTTGAGAAGAAAAGTATATCACTGAAACTATGATGTTGAAGAGTTCGAAAGATTGGCTTGAAAAGTGCATTGATCTCATTAAGAATGGTTGTGCAATTATAGAAGCTAATGGTTGTAGAAGGCTGTCTTGAAGTGCCACTGCAAGACGAGATAGAAGGAAAAAAAAATGTATCTTAACGAAAATCGTTGGGATAGTTGGTTCGTAGTCGTACATACTGGGTGGTACAATTTAAAACAGGACAAAAAAAGAAACACTAACGCCAGGCCGGTTCTTGTCCTCGTGCATCAGTATATTTATTTTCTTTTGTTCTGTCCTGTGTTTAAACCGCACTCTCCTGCACATAAGAAAGGAGCACACTCATCAGTGCTTTTGTCATGTGCTTCTGTCCCGTCTTTGGGCTGTTTCCATCAAAGCCGGTTTTGTAGTTCTTAAGGCTGTATGAGTTGCAGTAAGAATTCTTTTATTAATGAAGTTGGCCTAGCACGTTGTCTCGTTTAAACTGAATCTTTTGCTTTATAACCGTGAAGCACCTGTTTGCTGGCAGGATGAAGAGTGCCGCTCTTACAGCTGCATCATTGAAAGCATATATTGGACACTCTATCACAAGAAAGTGAAAGCTCATTTCACAATTCATTGTCTTGGTTGCCAACTTTTCCTGTATTTTGCCATCTTTTTAATTACAAGAATTGATTGCACTAAATTCTCGATTCCTTGGCATAAATAAATGCCATGGCAAACTATTCCTGGTGACAAACATGCGACACGAAGCAGCTAAGCACTATCGCATTCGTTAATTCACCTGTTCTTGCAAAAAATGACGGCTAGCGGTGTGCACTTAATATTGCAAGGTATTTAGTCAAGCTGTTTTCTCACTCACCAGCACTGTCGACAGGTCAGACTCGTACTTTCCGATGTTGATGTCGCCGTTCACGTCGATGGGTGCCCTCTGGACAAGCTCGAGACTTGAATGCTTTTTACAGTCAAGGTAGAGCACTGCATGGTCCTTGAACACGCTTATGTCCACCTTGTGCCACTGCTGGTCATCAACCTGAAGACACCATCAAAAAAGTCAGAGCTTTGCCGCGAAGGCGAAGCAGTGAACGTGATAGCAACAAATTGGAATGGTCACGCGAAGAATGGCAAGCAGATCCGAAACGTGCCCCGCGTTTCTCACGCACAAATGACGCACGTAACACTACTCACAGGTACAGATGAACTGTGATTAAGCATCCCAGTTGTTACTTCGCTGTGTCTGAAAAGCGCGCCCTTTTCGAAAACGGGAACTGTGCAACGATTGCAGTGACCTTTGTGCGCCCCTTAACTACAACAAATCGTTCCGGTGAAAGCCCAAGGTGTACTATTGTCCCCACCGCGAGATAAGCGAGTGCACGAGTAAGCGCCCTTCTCCGCGGGGGCAAAGTACACGTGGGACATGAGAGCGTGCGCCGCCGCGTCGTGACGATCTGGCGACGCGCGCTCATGGCGCCATCTCGTAGGTAATGCTGAAAACATGATAGATCCCCACGATATGCCCATCACCAGCAGGTAAGTGATGGATATAAATAGCTTGCCGTTTGAGCGTTGAAGGAGGTGCTCCTTCGTGCCTCAGTGGCTAACGCCTCACACTCACAATTCAAAGGTCGGACGTTCGATTCCGTGCGCCGGCATCTCTTTCTGTATTATTTTAAATGCGAAGCATTTCTTGGTGAACTTTGGTGACTCTGAGCGTGTCTGTTTATCTATCTAGCTAGCCGCTTGCACTTGGCTGTTCTCGTGGTCACTCCCTTAACTTGGCATGAAGGGTAAGATGGTTTGACGAATATAACGCGCTGGTTACACCCATCCGGTACATCCATTCATCCAGGTCGAAGCTTACCGAACAAGGTCGCGAGCGTAAGTGCACGTTTCCACTCACCTTTTGAACTGTTATTTATTGATTGATTGTTTCTTAAAGTGCTGGTGCAACTACAGTGTACTAGAATACATTCTAGTACACTGTAGTGCAACCCTCCACGGATATATAGATAGATAGATCAGTGAAGTCGACCGTAAGTGCGTGCAGAACGAACTGATGCTGATGATACCCAATATTTATGGCTTGCGCCCACTCTGGGGGATTAGCGAACAACTACAGTAATCGTAACGTGCAAGCGTCCTGTCTTCACTCTCTTTCGCTCTCGGAACAGGTGCGCCAGTTTCTTCGGTTTCAGATTCGGGAGCACCAATGGGTGATTGACCGCGCGTACGTAGAGAGAAAGAGAGAAAAAAGGGTGATAGGAAAGCTAGAAAATGGGCAGAGATGGAAACAGTAATAAAAAAGATAAAGAGCAAGACAAAGAAATAGAAAGAAAATGTGCTAAATAGAAAAAAGGACTAAAGAGAAAGACATATATACGAACAGCCAAAAACCCCCTCCATCCTTACATATGCTCGGGTGTTTGCGCCTGCGCGTGTATATGTATGTACTATAGTGAACTAGAATCATATTCTAGTTCACTATATTCTAGTTCAAATTTGGGTGCACGTTAAAGAACCCCAGGTGGTCGAAATTTCTGGAGCCCTCCACTACGGCGTCTCTCACAATCATATGGTGGTTTTGGGACGTTAAACCCCACATATCAATCAATGAATTACTTTGTTTAGAAATGTGAAAGTATATTTACTAATCGGTTCCGCATTCGCATACTCTTGTATCGATGGTTGCGTAACAACTGCCACATCAGTGAAATCATGCAGGTTGCAATTAACGCTTCAAGCAGGGGTTATTTGATTCGAGTTCGTTCACTGTAGCGAATATAGCGCGATGAAAGTGCAAGTTAGCCCGTGTGCATGGATTCAGATGCACGTCACCATATGGTCGAAATTTTCGATGCCCTCCACTACGGCTTCTCTTGTAATGATACAGCAGTTTTTGGGACGTAAAACAAGTCAAGGTTAACTAATTACCAATTTAATGGTGATGGTTTGCGCAACCATCGCCTCATTTTTCGCGTTCCCTGATGCTCCGGATCTATTTTTCTTTTCGTTTTGTTTGCTCCTCATCGACTCCCTCCCCCCTTCCCCTTGCTGGGCCGTATGCGTCGAGCCAACGCCTGTCCGAGCAACCGGTAGTTCGCTTCCGCAATCTCGAAACTGGATTGCGAGAGAGAGAGAGAAAAAAAATGCGAAGGCTTCTCTCTCACCCGTTTGTTTTCATTTAAGCGGTTCAAATACCGTTAGAACTAATGGGTGCCCTTCGTCGGGGGTGTAGCTCAGATGGTAGAGCGCTCGCTTAGCATGCGAGAGGTACTGGGATCGATACCCAGCACCTCCATTCGTCTTTTTTTTCTTCTTCAGTATGGGGAACCTGTTTTTTTTTATTAGGTTCTCTTTCTTATCTATGTAGTCAATACTTTGAAAGGTGAGCGCGAGTCAGAATCACGTATACTAATTAATACATCCGCTAATCAGTCCAGCAAGCAAAAAAAAAATACGAAGGCTGAAGATTAACAGTTGCATAATAAAAATTCTGACGGCAGGGATGATTACGCCAGACTTTAGATTTGCATCCATTTAAGACAAAGTGTTTCTTCTTATGGAACTGTTCAACGCCCGAACAGCTGCGAAACACACCGAGATACATCATAGAAATGTCCGGGGGTGTAGCTCAGATGGTAGAGCGCTCGCTTAGCATGCGAGAGGTACTGGGATCGATACCCAGCACCTCCACTGAAGCGTTTTTTTTTTTCGTCAAGTCTTTTTTACGTTTACTTTTTTTTTCAAGAATACACGGCATGAATCACGCCGGTTAAGACGGTATTGAATTGATTAGACATCTTTGTAATGACTCCTGCATACTTAAATTGTTGCAAACTGCTTTCACAATGTGATAAGGCCACTGATTACAAAAGGACGGCGGTGTAAACCAAACTTTTTGCTTGCTCTATTTCTAACCTATATTTTAGTTTGTCTTTGTTATATGAGCCTTTATCTTGTCAGCAATGCTGTTAACATTCGTGGTGTTTAACGAGCGAGAAAACGTATCCATTATGGCGGTGATTACCTATAATAATAATAATAATAATAATAATAATAATAATAATAATAATAATAATAATAATAATAATAATAATAATAATAATAATAATAATCACTGTCTGCTCTCGAGGAGTCGTCCAAGGATACGTTTTCCGGCGCCATCGCCGACACCCTCACTCCCACCGAGCATGCCGACCTGCTTGATCTTCTGCATGAGTTCCGGAATTCCTTCGATGTGTCCCAACCTCAACTAGGCCGCACGTCGCAAGTGAAGCATCATGTTGACACCCGCCTACACCAGCCACTGCGTCAAAGACCATACCGTGTCTCCACTGAAGAGCGCCGCGTCATCAACGATCAAGTCGAAGATATGCTTCGTAGAGACGTCATTCGACCATCTCACAGTCCCTGGGCGTCTCCCGTCGTGCTGGTGCGTAAGAAAGACGGATCTATCCGATTTTGCGTAGACTATCGTCGTTTGAATAAGATAACCCGCAAGGACGTCTATCCTTTGCCGCGCATTGATGACGCCATTGACACCCTTCACGGAGCGGAATTCTCGTCGCTGGATTTGCGGTCTGGCTGCTGGCAAGCTCCAATGGCTGAAGCCGATCGCCAAAAAACTGCATTTATTGCACCTGACGGACTATACGAGTTTAACGTCATGCCCTTTGGGCTTTGTAACGCGCCCGCCACGTTTGAACGACTTATGGATAATACGCTACGTGGCCTCAAGTGGAATATGTGCCTCTGCTACCTCGACGATGTCGTGGTTTTCTCGCACGACTTTCCTACGCACCTCCTTCGCCTCAGGCACGTTTTGACTTGTCTGACCAACGCTGGCCTGCAGCTTAACCTGAAAAAATGTCGCTTCGCTGCACGCGAGCTCGTCATCCTATAGGCCACACCGTGTCGAAGCACGGCGTATTACCTGACCCAGCAAAACTTCGAGCAGTCGCAGAATTTCCCAAGCCGACGACCATGAAATAACTTCGCAGTTTTGTAGGCCTATGCTCCTATTTCCGGCGCTTTGTTCGCAATTTTGCATCCATCATGTCACCATTAACGCAGCTTCTTCGCGGTGACGTGAACCTCTCCTCCTGGTCCCCTGCATGTGACGTTGCCTTCACTACTCTGCGCCGTCTGCTCACCTCGCCCCCTATTCTTCGCCACTTCGACCCGACGGCTCCTACCGAAGTGCACGCCGACGCGTCCGTCGGGCTAGGCGCTGTCTTCGCTCAACGAAAGCTCGGCCATTCAGAATATGTTGTAGCTTACGCTAGCCGCACTCTGACGAAAGCCGAGACTAATTACAGCGTGACAGAAAAAAAAGTGTTTGGCTCTGGTGTGGGCGCTTGGAAAATTCCGGCCATACTTATACGGCCGCCCGTTCGATCTAGTAACGGATCACCACGCGCTTTGCTGGCTCACCACTTTGAAAGACCCTTCTAGCCACCTTGCGCGATGGGCACTCCGCATCCAGGAGTACGACATTCGCGTCGTATACCGCTGCGGACGCAAACACTCTGACACTGATGCCCTGTCCCGCTCACCTTTATCACCAGATCCGACGTGCGGAAACACTCGCCTCGAGATCTTGTCATCGCTAAATCTCGACTCGATTGCCACCGAACAACGTCGTGACCCGTGGATCACTTCTCTTATCGAATATCTATCTGGCACGCCCAACCTTCCAGTATCTCGATCCCTCCGACGTCAAGCTTTCTATTTCGCCATCCGCGATCAACTCCTTCATCGACGCAACTACGCTCCCGATGGCCGCCGGTGGCTACTGGTCATTCCACGCACTTTACGATCACAAGTATGTGCCTCTCTTCACGACGATCCGCAATGTGGCCACGCCGGGGTGTTCAAAACATATGAACGCCTTCGCCATCGCTATTACTGGCGCGGCATGTACAAGTTTGTACGCAAATTCGTGCAGTGCTGTCCTGACTGCCAGCGACGCAAATCAACACCGCTACGTGCGACTGGCGAATTGCAGCCACTTCCGTGCCCTGCCAAGCCATTTGATCGCGTTGGCGTTGACCTCTACGGCCCCCTTCCATTGACAGCAGATTGCAATCGGTGGATTATAGTGGCGGTCGACCATCTACCACGCTACGCCGAAACAGCCGCTTTACCGAGCGCTACCGCTCAGGATGTCGCCTCTTTCATTTTACGTCAATTTATCCTTCGACATGGCGCAACTCGAGAGCTCCTTAGTGACAGAGGCCGCGCTTTTCTCTCCGAGGTCGTCGAAGCTCTGCTTTCGGAATGCCACGTCATTCATCGGAAAACGACAGCATACCACCCGCAGACTAACGGACTAACGGAACGGTTTAACCGCACGCTGGATGATATGCTCTCAATGTACGTGGCATCTAATCATACCAACTGGGACCGTGTTCTCCCATACGTGACATTTGCATACAATACTGCAATACAAACAACCACGGGATTTTCACCTTTCTTTCTTCTTTACGGACGTGACTCTTCCCATACAATTGATACTCTACTTCCCTATACCGTCCTGATGCTTCCGAATCTCCACCTATCTCCGATGCTGCTCGACAAGCCAAAGAGTGCCGCCAGCTCGCCCGTGCGTTCACCTCGGACGAGCAGCAACGCCAGAAAGAAAACCGTTGCACCTTTCTTCCGGATCCCAACTATGCCCCAGGGTCTCTCGTGTGGCTTGCCATCCCATACCAAACTCCGGGACTCTCATCAAAACTTGTCCCCCGGTACGAGTGGCCTTACACCGTTTTAGAGAAAACCTCTCCGGTTAATTACCTAATTGAGCCAGTTTCCCGATCGAATGACATGCGCCGGCATGCACGTGACATCGTCCATGTTTCCCGCCTAAAACCGTATCATGAGCCTCTCCCTGAGACTTCTTAGGTCGCCAGGATGGCTCCTTTTTCAGCGGGGGCGATTGTGAAGAAGACGATGTGCCTGCAGCGAGCAGCATCGCCAACGCCCGGCTCTCTCGGCTCGTGCTTCGGTTCGTTGCTGTGCCGATCGCTGGACGGTTCTTCACGCTGTCTCGTCGCTGTCTTTAACGGCTAATAAACCTCCTCACAACAATAATAATAATAATAATAATAATAATAATAATAATAATAATAATAATAATAATAATAATAATAATAATAATAATAATAATAATAATAATAATAATAATAATAATAATAATAATAATAATAATATCTGGGGTTTAACGTCCCTAAACCACCATATGATTATGAGAGACGCCGTAGTGGAGGGCTACGGAAATTTCGACCACCTGGGGTTCTTTAACGTTCACCCAAATCTTAGCACACGGGCCTACAACATTTCCGCCTCCATCGGAAATGCAACCCCCCCAACCGGTATTCGATCCCTCGACCTGCGGCGGTGATTACCTATAGCAGTATATTTAACTGCAGTGTAGCGGGTGTTAACAGTTCCGCTGTTCTTGGAGAACGTCACTGTGGTGGGTCAATTAGCAGCGTCCGAACAGCTGGTGTTAATATGGTACTTCGATTTCCGAGCTCACTTTTCTCTCATACAAATACCCTGTACCCGGAGACGACTCTTAACAATTATAAAGCTAAATAAATGATGATAAGGTACCTTATTTTGTTAAGGTCAATTTTAGTATGGCGAGGCTACTGACATGTACACTATGGTCCACTGTTAAAGGGAACACTCGAATGCACACCATAAATATTCCTGGCCCTCTAAGAGCAAGTGGTTTAAGAAACAATCTTCATGCAAGTCAATATTCTGTCGAGTAGGAACTTTTAACCACAAGTAGCCTTATGCATATCTAAGACGCTATGATTCCGTAAGATAGCGAAATCTAAACATGCTGCCAACGCAGGTGTTCCCTTTAATAGTGGACCTGTCTGTACAACATCAATTTTTATAAAAAGAGTCACACGCGAGAACGTGGCCTGCGCTCTACTGCGGCTACCTACAGAACCATTAGCCGACAGTTACAGAAAGCGCATCCGCTTTTGGCGCCATCGCCCGCTGCGAGACCAGAGTGGGAGCACAATTCAGCAGCGCTTGTCCGATGGTCATGACTTGTTTCGTTTGCTTTGTCGGTTGGTGGTGCTGTAGGCAACCGCGACAGAGCGCAGGCCACGGGCTCGCATGTTCCCTTTCATGAAAATTGTCACTGTATATATACACTGTCGTTGTGTCGCGCACGGTATCAGTTGTGGTGATTTCACGAGCCAGTACCAGTAATGCTACTCGTGCCCTCATCAGTTTCCAAAGCATTGAGATTGGAGTATATCAGACGTGGAAACGTCGCGGCATCTTGACGAATGCGTGACGAGAATCTCGTACCTTGTCGCGACGTCGAAATGCAGTAGGAACCGAAGCTATAGCTTTTGAAACGCCATTGGCATTAACCTTTCAGGGTGCGCGCACGCTTACCTGTGCATTGTCTAGGCTCTTAAGGGCTTGGTTTTTCATCGACTCAAAAACAAAAAAGACATTTGTTTAGTAACTCTTAATCTTCAGTAAACCATAATAATACCGACGCTAAAGCTCGTGCAATGTGGTCACACTGTTCACACATCGTAAAAAGTCACTCAGTCGTGTGTCTCTGCCAATCGTATAGCTGGCTGCATCGACGTACGCGATGTGAGAAGCTGAGCCGACTTACTGCCGTCGACAACAACATGACGCTGCTGACGAGTGCCTCCGGGCGCACGACCTCGGCTACAAAAGCGGAGACGATGGTCATAACCTTAGCCGTAACATTTCAGAAGCGTACAGATCGAGAGTCATCAGTTATTCTATCCAACTCCCAGAAGGCCTGATGGCTCATTTTTTTTAACAGGTTGCCTTCCGGCAGTGGGGCAGAGGCATGCTAGGACCCAAACCCGCTCATCGCCATCGCTTGATCTGGTACCCGGAACACGCAGGGCTCCAAGGCAACGAAAGGGTGGACGCTCGTGCATTGTTGCAACTGAGCGGAGTTGAGTTGATAAACTTTATTGGCCCAGCGGTGTTGTACCCGGGGCTAGGCTGCCACAGATCAACCGCTCGAAAAACATTTCTCGAGGTACTCGGCGATGGCCCTGGCCCGCATAACAGAGCGGAGACTTCCTCTGTTTCGTTGACCATACCATTTTTGCTTAGGGAGATTCTCGCTCACCAGCGCTTCCGCAGCCCCGCCGCGGTGGTCTAGTGGCTAAGGTACTCGGCTGCTGACCCGCAGGTCGCGGGTTCAAATCCCGGCTGCGGCGGCTGCATTTCCGATGGAGGCGGAAATGTCGAGGCCCGTGTGCTCAGATTTGGGTGCACGTTAAAGAACCCCAGGTGGTCAAAATTTCCGGAGCCCTTCACTACGGCGTCTCTCATAATCATATGGTGGTTTTGGGACGTTAAACCTCACAAATCAATCAATCAGCGCTTCCGCATCTACTGGAGTTATACGCGATAGATCTAACGCTTTTTACCCTGCCGTGCGTCCGCGGTGCGGAGGTAGGCCGACTCTCTTCCACATCTCGTGGAGTTGCGCCAAGTGACTTGCCGATTTTCTCGGATAAATCAAAGCGGTTTTGCTTTCCTAACGAAAATTCTAGCTTAATCGTAAAATAAAAGAAAAACATCGTTTCCCATGAAACTAACACATCGAGTTAATGATTGATGACTTAATCGCCAATAAGATTGGCTAAGTCTTTAAGGTTCCTTGAAGGAGCCAGTGACACAAAGACCGATATTGAGGAGTAGCTTCCTGGCGAATATGCCATATCGAACTCGTACGGTGTGTGTGAAAGCTTTCCCTATTAGCTAAACGCGTACGTTTTTTTTTCACTTATCATTAGGCGGCAGTTATTTCCGGGCACTGTATCGCACTCTCATATGGCATGCACTTGGTGCGTTAGTATACTGTGACATGGCGGCTCTAGCCGTCATAGTTAAAGAGTTATGGCTTCACTCTAAAGCCATTATTTCTCCTATCTTAAACTTTCTTTACGGCACAGAGTTTCCTAATATACACTAGAGGGAACTCTGGCGCTAGTGTCAATGGGAGCTGCAACGCACGGCGCTTCAGCGAGCATGGGAATGATGGGTAGTACACACATTTGTCTGATCTTCGTACTTCTGGCCTTCTTCTGGCTCCGTGTGTGTTCGTGTGGCTTGGAGCTGTTTTCTCACTAAACAAAAAATCAACAAATGTTCAGCGGTTGCGCTTCACCACCTTATTCATTTAGACTTACCTTTCCAAATCTGGGCACAAAGTTCAAAAGGGTTGAATGTTTCTTTCAAAACAAAACCGAAACACAGCAACAAACGAAGCCGCAAGTATGATTCGCCTCCCGCAAGTACGAAGACTAGGCAGATGTGTGTACTATACCCAACATTCGCAAGGTCGCTGAAAGATCGTAGCGACAGAGTCCCCTCTAGTTAATTTTAGGAAACTAAATGCTTTATGGTACCTCCTTGATCCACTCACTTGGACGTTGCGGAAGCGCAGCGTCTGCCTCCTCCCGGTGACGTCCTGAGCGAAGAAGTCCAGCCGGTTCTTCCTGGAGACCACGCTGAGCCCGAACTGGGCCGTCCCCTGGACGTCGGTGAGACGTATGAGGAACCAGGGATCGGTGCGAGCGCTCCGCTTGCGGAACGTTGCGACGAACGAGAACTCCCCGGGAAGGCCCAGAGGAAACACCGCCCTGCAGCGAGAAGGCGGCGGTGCTCTACATTTCTCGGAGGCGTTTGTGCATGATCCATAAAGATGTAACGACTCAATGTATGGCCTCCGAGATTCAAGATTTTTTTTGGTTCTAAATGCTTATATTGGAATTCGTTCGCAAGGCTCCAACACCGCTTTGCAGAGAGAGAGAGAGAGAGAGAGAGAGAGAGAGAGAGGGTGGAGGGGGGGGATTTAGTGATTTACGCCGACAGGGTGTATGGCTTTCGAGATAGAGTGTTGTGCGTATAGGAGTATAAATTGCGTGCTTCAGTACGCCGCCCGAACAAAACCAAACTATGTGCTTCGAGTGAATGACAGGGATGAAACACCTCTTTCAGTAAACGCTGATCGGCTGGTTGATCAAGGCAGGAACGGGGACGTAGTTCGAGACGACAGTTTCGGTGGTCACGTTCCGATAAAATGTCGCTTTGGGTGACGTAGAATCTCGCGTGTCTAATCTGAAGCAACTGCGTCCCCGCCTTCTCCACCCAGCCAATCAAAATGCGCTGGAAGTGATGCTCTGGCGCTCTCAGTAAAAAAAAAAAAAGTTTCACAATACGATTTCAGAACTAATTGGTCTGTGGGAAGCCCGTAGCTTGGTGGGGGAGGAGGGAAAGAGGGGGCCGGGCCTTTCGAAATTTCGATGAAGGGGGTGGGAGGGTTTACCGAGGACAAATAATCATAATAGATGTTCTTCAAAGCCTTCAACAAGTGCTGCCACCCCGCGGAAAAGATTCTCGGCTACGGGCCTGGCATGTGGCAACACGGAACGGGTCGTATAGAGCACGACAATGAACGTATTTGGCGATGAGTGACGGAACGAATTTTAGGCGTGGGATAAAATGCAACGCGAGACTCTATTGCCGTTGTAATTTTTGCTTGCGGCAATTTTGACTTGTCGCCCTCTACAATGCGGTCTGCGTAGGCATTGGAAGACGAGATAATCTGTCCCTTGGGCAAGGACGTAACTGGACAAAGACGTAAGTACGCTGAACGAGACACAGCCGTTAGTTCCGCTTCGTTATGTTTGACTGCGTGTGTTATACCTTGCATTTCGCGACAGCAGTTCAAGCAGTAGCTTATTTGGCTGGCTGAACCGCGAAAACAAACGACGTGGTTGGACAGGTAGGCGGTAGGGATTCGTTAAGGCCAATCGGCTCAGCGATGAAGGCGAGGTAGTTTTATTGAAGGGGCACTAAAACACTTTTTCAAATAATCATGGAATGAATTCACTGGAAAAGCTTATTTCCTCACGAGTTCAACGCCAGAAAAATTTTAAGAATCCGTCCAGTGCGAGCAGAGTTGCAAAGATTTGTCGCATGCTGCAATTGCATTGTCTCTTCTATCGTACCGGCGAAAGCGCTAGAAGCTAAGCAGGGATAGATGACAGGGCCACAGAAAAACGTCACGCGTGCTTCGAGATAGTGAGCACTTTCTTTTCTTTTTTTTTCTTTTTGAATGCGCGCCTTTGTCAGTGTGATCGCGCGCGCACGCGTGGACAAGTAGTGGCCTCGCGCGGTGATCTCTGTAACGAGCGAGCGCGCCACGTTCAAATCGGCCAATGGCTGATGACGGGTCGTTCACGTGTGATTTTTGTGAGAAGAGAAAGCAATTTCTAGCTGACTTCGATAATTTATTGTGAATTCCAGGCCGTGTGCTGTGCTATAATATTTGACTCGCGTGTTCTCGGGAGCCTCTACTACCGATCGGCAGCGTTTTTTGACCACGCTCAAAAAGTGTTGCAGGGCCCCTTTAAGAATGTTTGTGTGCTTTCCTGTTTAGTTATCATAGATCCCACAGCGCCCAAGGGCATTACAGGGGATGAAAGAATACAATATATCAATACAGAGTACAGGTTCCACAGTAGTGTCCTCCTCTACGTCGTTAGCATTACGCCAAGTGTTTTGTTGTTACGGTCGAAGAGCACTTGCAGAACCGCCATATTTCTGCCCGATATGCTTTTCTGTTGACCATAGTTCAAAAACCCGCTAGAAAATTTTGTGCGAGGGGTCGCCGGGATTGATTTATTTCACCGCCAATATTCATGCTGAGTCTTCATCTCTCGACGCGACTGAATTAAAAAAAAACAATCCGGAGGTACGCTTGTGTCAGGTGTCTCAAAGAAGCGGTCCTCGGACGCTTTTAAAGTGGCTCGCGTCTTCACCTGAAATAACATGTTCGTGGTTTTACTATGTGGTAATTGCACTTTACACTATTGCGAACAATAACGCTTCGTTTAAGTAAGCTAGAGACAGGAATGGTATAAAGAATGTTTAGGGGCGAGGCTCCTAAACCCGTGGGTCTGTCTCTCCTACGTTGGTGGTCTAAATTTCCGGAGCCCTCCACTACGGCGTCTCTCATAATCATATAGTGGTTTTGGGACGTTAAACCCTACAAATCAATGTTCCTCCTACGTCGTCGTGGTTCGTGACCGCCTAGTTCGATGACTCAGCATGTGCGGACGGATAGACAGACAGATGGAGGCACGGCTGGATGCTTCGCCCTACTCATCATCGATCACTCCGTGGAAATGCTGTGATTTTTTTTTTTTGGGTCAGGCACCTCGTGTGGTCAAGATGCGTTGAAACATGACCGTAGAACAAAATGTGCATATTTTTTTTTCTGAATCGCTGTCAAGATTTGTGTCATTCTGGAGATCATTGTTGAAACGTATCAAGTTTCAAGTTTTATTATTTCCAAAAACAAGGTACGAAATCTAAGATATACAGACGAGGGTCCCAGAGCCAGAGACTTTAGTGGGACCCTCGGTTTGTCGATACAAATCGACGGTAAAATTTATACAGAGCAACAGAAAATTCTTACAATATACAGACATCAAAATGCACTTCTATATCTCTTGAAACGAGGAAAAATTTCTTTTAGAATCCATCTTTCGAAATTGCCTATATACGAGATGTAGAAAATGCGTTTTTTTAAATGCATTAATTGTGAAATCCCACTACGCGTGCTGCGCTGAAGTTTGTTCTCAGATGAAGTTGGTTCTCAGATCGCTTGTTCTCAGATGCCTCGAGTGCCGATCGGCAGCGTTTTTTGACCGTGCTGAAAAAAAAAAAGTGTTGCAGGGTCGTTTTAAAGGAACACCAAATAGAAGCGATGAGTTGGCTTACATGGACAAACGGCAATCTGAGAAGTCTAACGCCATATGTTGCGCTGTCATACATTCATTATTGTAGAAAATCTAGGTCCTAGTTTCATTTTTAAATTTCGCGCCGAAATCGCGCGTGACGTCAAAAATTTCAAAATGCACATTGGCTCGATCAAATTTTCCGAAGCTTCGTAATCTAGGCCTACAGCACCGACAGACAACAATGCACTCCAATTTTATTGGTCAGAAGCTGCGTAGGACCCAGTAGACGCCTTCAAAATGTGTGACGTCACGGTATTTGGTGCGGGAATCTCGAGGTAGCGTCTCCACCCGAATTTCCTTTTCGCGCGTTTTTTTTTTCTCGCTTACTAAGCGTAGTGTCACTCGTGGTAATAGTGGTGTTATGGGGATTATCAAATTGTACTTTACCGATACGTAAAAAAATTATTTTGCCCTCTATCGTCATCATCATCAGCCTGACTACGTCCCCTGCAGGACAAAGGCCTCTCCCATGTTCCGCCAGTCAACTTGGTCCTGTGCTTGCTGCTCCTAATTTATACCCGCAAACTTCTTAATCTCATCTGCCCACCTAACCCTCTATAAGGTCCCTAGATGAAACATCTAGGGACCTTAACCCTCTATACTCGGGGACGACCTTCGGTGGCAATGAAGGGAAGGCCACGGAGGCAAAGTGGGCATGTGCCACCGCTCTAGAACATAGTGTCACGGATGCGTCCGTGTTTTCCACGTGAAAGTAATAAAAAAAGACAATACTACTTTGTACTAGATGCTGTTTATAAAGAGACGCTGCACATGCCGAGGAGATAGCATTATTTATTCGCTGCTTCCTGAAGGGTCGTTTCGCGTTTTCGCGCGTCTGAGAAACGTCTCACGTTTTACGTGCACCGAACAGTCAAAATGGCGTCTTTAGGTGAGTGCGCGTCGCCCTCCGGCTATTCCGATGACTCGCCGAAGGTTAGCTTGTGTCGAATTTTTTTCTCACAAATGGCTGTGTAAGCAGGCGTATAACATCGCGTGCAGTGGAATTACATGAACGCGGCTGTCATTCGAAACGCGAGCCGAAGCGGACTACATCGCGGAGGAGTACAGGAGCAGTATAGCTCCGCCCACGTAGCCTTCTCCCTTCACTGCTACAGAAAGTTGTCCCCGAGTATAGTGGCCCTTTAATACACGATTCCGTAAATTAACGAAGTAACGTCAATTGTGCATTGCCTTCATGCATGTACTTGTACGTTGCCGAAATTATGCAATCCTTTACATTAAGTGAGCAGTTCTGCTATTCCTGTTGTGGCGTATATGTGTTTGCAGCATCTCTTGAACTTAGGCCTTTCTGCAAAAAGAAAACGTCGTAATAATGTTCAGCCCCGCGTGTCTCTTTACTCGTTGTACTTTACTAACGGGCGAAAAATGGTTTTGCTCTTTAGTGCGCCTTTAAAATCTCTTGACTTGACCGTACCTTGTGGGCAGTTCGAGTTCCGCTTTGCGAGACAGCCTGTACGCCGTCTGCAGGCTGTTGGATCCGGTGACCCTCTTGACGCCCGGGAAGTCGAACTGGGCATCGTCCAGCCGGAACTTGTGGATCAAGTCGAAGCCTGCAGGCTCTCACAAGAGAAAGGGAAGATGGAAACGACTCATAGACGAAGATCGATGAAGGTCGACAATTAGAGTGAATGAGGAAAATAATAGATAAAGTACACGCCTTAGCAGGAAAATAAGAATTAGAACAACAAGAAAAAGTAAACATTAAATGGTGCAAAAATAACCGTGTACGCCGGTATTGTGCGATGCTTATACTTAAAGCACTTAAGTGTAATCTTCATCGGTATAGCATGAAAATGATAAAAAAACGGCACTGGAGCCCAGCTCTTTACGACCAAACCTGGGTGACCCAGCATGCCCGTGAGGCAGCGTCGAGGCAAACCTTTGACGTCCCCTAGTGGGAGGCTTCGGCCCGGCCACCTAAACCTGCTGGTTTCTTATAATAAGGTTTATTCCTCCTCCTCCTGAATTTTGAACGTTCGCCAAACGGCAGCAGTAGCGAAAGTGTAATACCGTGAACTCGCTGGGCCACGGGCATGGCTATATAAACGTTAGTTTTGTTCAGTTCCAATATATCGGTCACTTTTTTTTTTACTCAGTAGTATCCCCCAACCTTGACCAGGACCATGGCACTCCTCCTTGGCGTTGTCTCAAGCACGTCTTTGATTTGTCACATTTGCAGCGCAAGTTAGAAGTGTGGCAGTTTGGGCTAGTTGGTATGACATCGCCAAGCCAAGGGGGGCAGGAACCTCGTCAAGCTGCTGTTTTGCAGCTTTTTTGTTCATTGTCCTTGCGTTTTCTTTTTTTTTCTTGTAAAAAGGAAATGCGAAATAAACTTGAAACATGACGATAGCTATAGCGCGAGAACAGAACGAGGACAAAGAGACAAGAAGGACACGAGCGCTCTTTGTCGTCGTTCTGTTCTCGCGCTATAACTATCGTCATGCAATGCAAGCCTTCACTTCAGTATCCATATGCAACGTTTACTGAAGGGGGAGAAAGGAAGAAGGAAAGGTAGAGAGGTAGACCAAAAGCATGTTCGTTTTTTTTTCACGGTACAATGGGGGATAGGAATTAAGGAATAAAAATAAAGAAAATGGGCAAGATGCTACGAGTGTAGCATTCGTGTGACTGTTCCAATAAAAGGTGTGAACGTATGAAGGGCTACATTCTTTTCCACCGTTCTTCGCTGTATTTGCTTTGTACTAATGCTACCGTATTTGTCTATTTTAGACAACTTAGCGTGGTGTTTTCTGAAACACTACGCTGGTAAAAGTCTGTGTTGCCCCAACAGTGGGCATTCTGAAGTTCGACGTGCCGCTTGCTTTCGCAACATGTCGCTTTCCGTCCCTGGTTTTGCCACTCACTCATTGAACAAAAACCAAAAGCATCCTCAGTACCTTGTAGGTCGTCTTGTCCAGGCTTCGCCCGCGGGCACGGTTCGGCAACTTCCCCCTCTCCTTCATCTGCGATTGGACGAAAAGGACGTCGGTACACGTGACGTCACGCGCGTCACATCATGACGTCACCCAGCGTGTAAAAAAAAAAGGAAGACTTCTAACGTATAACTTCAGTGTGCTAAGGTTCGCCATTACCGAGAAGAAACACTAAAACTGCACAGCATTACCGCACGAATCATTGCGCTTTGCGAGTGTCCTCACGTTTTTTGGAGTTTGAAATATTTAGTACAATGACGTCCAGTGGTGCAAATTAACAAGAGTATAGCAGGGGTGCTGATACATTAACCGATCACTAGTAACAGACAATTGAAAAAAAGTTGTTAAATGACTGTTAGCGTTACTGAGAAAGAGAAGTAATCGATTAGTTACAAAAGTACCCGTTATGTCATTGATTGATCTGAAAGTAATTGATTTTCGTGGGATTCCTTGTGTACTATTCGGAATTGAAGAGTCAGCAGCTCATTCCGTGCACCGGCAACACCAGTCTACAGGTAACCACGAAAATGCTACGATTACCAAGATTACCCTATTCCACCTAACATTTGTCAGTGCTGATGTAAGTCCGGGTGCTCCTTCAGTACTCAATCAATATGCGTGATGACTCTTTACTCGTTGTACTTTACTAACGAGCGAAAAATGGTTTTGCTCTTTAGTGCGCCTTTAAAATCTCTTGACTTGACCGTACCTTGTGGGCAGTGCGAGTTCCGCTTTGCGAGACAGCCTGTACGCCGTCTGCAGACTGTTGGATCCGGTGACCCTCTTGACGCCCGGGAAGTCGAACTGGCCATCGTCCAGCCGGAACTTGTGGATCAAGTCGAACCCTGCAGGCTCTCACGAGAGAAGCGGGAGATGCAAACGACTCGTAGACGAAGATCGATGAATTTGTGAAAAATTACAATAAACGGGGAAAATAACAGATAAAGAAAATCGACAATTACAGTGAATGGGGAAAATGATAGGTAAAATATACGCCAAGCAGGAAAATGAGAATTAGAACAACAAGAATAGGAAAACATTAAATGGTGTAAAAATGACCGTGTATGCCGGTATTGGTACGATGCCTAAAAAAATTCATCGTAAGGCTCTTTGTATACTTAAAGCACTTAAGTATAATCTTCATCGGTATAGCATGAAAATGATAAAAATAAACGGCACCGGAGCCCAGCTCTTTACGACCAAACCTGGGCGACCCAGCACGCCCGTGAGGCAGCGTCGAGGGAAGCCCTAGACGTCCCCTCGTGGGAGGCTTAGGCCCGGCCACCTAAACCTGCTGGTTTCTTATAATAAGGTTTATTCCTCCTCCTTCTGAATTTTGAACGTTCGCCAAACGGCAGCAGTAGCGAAAGTGTAATACCGTGAACTCGCTGGGCCACGGGCATGGCTATCGAAATAAACGTAAGTTTTGTTCAGTTCAAATAAATCAGTCTTTTTTTTTTTTACTCAGTAGTATCCCCCAACCTTGACCAGGACCATGGCACTCCTCCGCGGCGTTGTCTCAAGCACGTCTTTTGATTTGTCACAACTGCAATGCAAGTTGGAAGTGTGGCAGTTTGGGCTAGTTGGCATGACATCGCCAAGCCAAGGGGACAGGAACCTCGTCAAGCTGCTGTTTTGCAGCTTTTTGTTCCTTGCCCTTGCGTTTTCTGTTTTTTTTTTCTGGTAAAAACGAAATGCGAAATAAACTTGAAACATGACGATAGTTATAGCGCGAGAACAGAACGAGGACAAAGAGACAAGAAGGACACGAGCGCTCTTTGTCGTCGTTCTGTTCTCGCGCTATAACTATCGTCATGCAATGCAAGCCTTCACTTCAGTATCCATCTGCCACGTTTACTGAAGGGGGAGAAAGGAAAAAGGAAAGGTAGAGAGGTAGACCAAAAGCATGTTCGTTTTTTTTTACGGTACAATGGGGGATATGAATTAAGGAATAAAAATAAAGAAAATGGGCAAGATGCTACGAGTGTAGCATTCGTGTGACTGTTCCAATCAAAGGTGTGAACGTATGAAGGGCTACATTCTTTTCCACCGTTCTTCGCTGTATTTCCTTTGTACTAATGCTACCGTATTTGTCGATTTTAGACAACTTAGCGTGGTGCTTTCTGAAACACTACGCTGGTAAGAGTTTGTGTTGCCCCAACAGTGGGCATTCTGAAGTCTGACGTGCCGCTCGCTTTCGCAACAGTCGCTTTCCGTCCCTGGTTTTGCCGCTCACTCATTGAACAAAAACCAAAAGCATTCTCAGTACCTTGTAGGTCGTCTTGTCCAGGCTTCGCTCGCGGGCACGGTTCGGCAACTTCCCCCTCTGCTTCATCTGCGATATGACGAAAGGGACGTCGGTACACGTGACGTCACGCGCGTCACTTCATGACGTCACGCAGCGTGTGAAAAAAAGGAAGGCTTTTAACGTATAACTTCAGTGTGCGGAGGTTCGCCATTACCGAGAAGAAACACTAAAACTGCACAGCATTACCGCACGAATCATTGCGCTTTGCGAGTGTCCTCACGTTTTTGGGGAGTTTGAAATATTCAGTACAATGACGTCCAGTGGTGCAAATTAACAGGAGTATAGCGGGGGTGCTGATACATTAACCGATTACTAGTAACTGATAACTGAAAAAAGTTGTTCGATTACTGTTAGCGTTACTGAGAAAGAGAAGTAATCGATTAGTTTACAAAAGTTGCCGTGGTGTCATTGATTGATCCGCAAGTAATTAATTTACAAGGGATTCCTTGTGTACTATTCGGATTTGAAGAGTCAGCAGCTCTTTCCGTGCATCGGAAACATCAGCCAGCAGTTAACCATGAAAAAGCTACGATTAACCAACGTTGCCCTATTCCACCTAACATTTGTCAGTCCTGACGTAAGTCCGGGTGCACCTTCAGTCCTCAATCAATATGCGTATTTACCTTATAATAAAGTTGTCTTTGTACTTAATTAATCATATAGTTTACATTTTGTCATGATTTCGGTTTTATATGATCGTTTTATGGGCGTCCCACCTTACGTCGCGAGTTCGTCTCATTCATTCATTCATTCATTCACTCATTCATTCAATCATTCATTCATTCAGACCTCAAAGTGGTACTTTCTAGGTTGAACTGAAAAACTGATTTTGAAAACCTCGTTTGCGTCTTTTAGGGTTCTTCAGATTGAAGAGGAATTAGTAAAATATAAAGGAAACATTAACTTTCAAGTAGTTACCATTTTCCGGAAGCAGCCTGGCCAGCGAGGTCCCCATTGTGGGGAAAAACAGGTCATCGTCGCCCTGTGCTCGTACAACTGCAAACGAAAAAAAAAAAAAAAACTCAATTACACACCAGACACTAAACGCACTACGCAAGAACGCACGAGTACGGCAACCGCGTCAGCCAGGGCGGCCGATTGACCGCCAAAAAAACTGGAAACCGTTGCGCGAATCCTCGAGATGTCTAAATCCCCGAGACTACTGAGACGCACATCCGCTTTTCAAGTAGATTATTAGTGCAATGTCTCGCACGCTACGAGAACACTCTAAAAAATATCGAGTAAAAAGGGTGCCTTTTTGTCACACAACAATAATAATCATCAGGCTTGCATGCGCTTCCTTTCTTGAAAACTCGACGCTGGCCACTTTCCTATCGAGAATGCAATGTAACCCTGATAATGGGCATGTCGATCGTGACCGGAATGTACCGGGCGCGGGGCGATAGCGCACGGATGGAACGCAATATAGATTACGATTATTGTTGTGGGCCAAAAAGACACCCTTTTCACTGGCTCTTTTTTAGAGTGAAGATGGAAACACATTTATTGCTCGTGCGCGTAACAAAATACACTGTAAGTGCTTACTGAAATACAAAAGGACGCGTACCATCAACGAACAAAAATAGGGAGAGAATACAAGATGGCGTCTTTTTTGTTTTTTGCACCCAACAAAAAGTTTTAAGTTGCCCTGTAAATATCACGCTGCGTCGTCATAGCCATAAATCTATTTTTCGTTGGCACGTAAGTGAACGTAAGTGCGTCATATTTGCATGACCTTCATTTGATTGAAGCGGGACATATGTATCACGCGTACTTGTATCGCATTTCATATATGCGTCGTATAGAAGGCGTTTCAAAAGAAGGTGTCCAATATTATTCAAAAAACTAAGGAAAGGAGCTATCTGCGTGCTACCTCCTGCGTTCCCTTTGCTGTGGCATAACGCATCTTCTGATGTATACACACATTAATTACGGCAGTAATTGCAAAAATTAACAATTTAACCAGCGGAAATTGCCGATAGAGTCAAATGGGCGCATTGAAGCTCATCCCACGAATAGTCCTTGGCCACTTCGAAACTTTGTAAAGGCGGCCACTGGTAATCACCGTGGAGCGATGAAATTTGGCTAATTTAGTTGGCGAAGCCGACGCACCAAACATCGCGTCTACCGAATTGACTTCCACAACTCCCTCAATGACGACGCTGTTTCCCTCGCATTGGGGCAGAAGAATAAACGAGCGTCGATAAGCGGCCACGGTGAAGTGTTTAGATCGACGCTTGATAACGGCTAAAAATCGCGCAACTGGTTTCATACGCATGAGCAAACGTTGGCGTGAGCCCGCGATGGTGGCACTTATCCCCGTATTCTAGAACCTCCCTTCACTCAACGCTTCGCCTTCTCTTGAGACAGCCGATAGAAGCGCCATCTTTACGCACGGCAAGTCACTGCATATCAGCAATAGTCTGCTGCGATTCTTTAGTAGCGCAGCGTCATTTTCAGCCGAGTGGTGGCGCAGTGCTCAACTCTGTCGTAGGGTGCCTTGATGCCCGCGCGCTCCGTTGAGGGTGAGGACAGCCGCGTCGTCTGCTACGACCGCCGCCATTGCGCCTCCCCACCACAACTCGACCGTATGCGAAGCCCGCTACGCAACGCTCGTGTGGTGCCCTGATACGCCCGGAAACATGTGCAAGCTAGCGAGCTATTCTTCTTATTGAAGCTTGGACATCTTTGAGAGTTAATTTCGCCTGAATGCATGCAGGGAGCGCATATTTCGTGTAAGCTGACGGCTTGCGCATGATTTATGCGCTAGAGGCAAACGCTGACTCTTTCATGTTGAAAAACAAATCCCTACGCCGGTTACCACAGAGGGGATTCTAAATCTATATCGGTGGTGTCGTTTATAGGCTTTCTTTGTTAGTGTTAATTATTATCTGAGGCTTTTACGTTCTGAAATGACGCCTGATTGCAGGACTGCAGCAATTTTGACAATCACTTCTTTTTTTTTTGCCTGCACTGACACAGTACATGGGTGTCCTCTGGTGTTTTACGTTATTCAAAATGAGACCGCCGTGGCCTAGATCGAAAGCGTGAGCCTCGCGTCAGCAACCGAGCACCGTGCCCACGGTACCACTGATGCGAACGCCTTTCTTATTGCCTCAACTATTTCTCCACGATCTTCTTATCGCACAACTTGACTTGTTTTTTTTTTGTTTTTTTTGCGACATAGCGTGTTCATTCTACACAGCGGTGCCCCGTCTTGTCTTCATGTATCTTCTTTGTATGGACGCTTCGCGAGTACAGTTTGCATAAGCACTTGCGTATGATCCCTGATAGCTCACAGTATTAATAAATAAATTATTTACTTAAATATAATGCGTGCTGAAAGAGTTTAAATACTGACGGTGTGTGTGTGCGTGCGTGTGTACACGCCTGCCGTTTCCCCTATTATCATCCAGTGTAGAAATAATTTATTTTTGTGCATTAATGCAGCGCTGCCAAAAGCAATTCAAATTATACGCTCCATGGCAGAATTCACTGAGTACTGTCACTAGTTGCTTCGCAGTGGTCGTAAATGATTAAAAAAACAACATCAATTGCGTAATGATTCAAGACAGGACGAAAAGAAAACTTGAAGTACAGGAACAATGAAAAAAATTTGAACTGCACACATTCTTACAAGGGTCATCACACCAGCATAGAAGGCGTACCTAAACCGAGGAAAAGATCGTAGAAAGAAACAACCTGTGTGGCTTTGTAATGGTTTGGGCGCTCGAACGGTTGGTAATCGAATTCCGGCCGCAGTGGCCCCACTTCGATGGAGATGAAATGCCGGAGTTCTTAAACTTAGGTGCAAGTTACATAAAAACACCTGTTCAAAATTTCCGGAGTCCTCTAATGTATACCGCGTCTCTCGTGATCATGGTGATTCCGTAACGTACACACACTCTTCAAACTTCATTGGGTACGACACCACCGCTGCGCAAAGCTTTATTCCCACAAATGAATATTACGAAAAAAAAAACAAAGATATCATCTGCAAAGAAACACGTGTAATATATATTTAATGATAAAGTTCTCATCGCACATAGTGAAACCAAGAATGAAGGGCAGATACAGTACCAACCAAGAGCAGCAAGCAATGTTTACGAAGTGAAATACGCGATTCATGCACTCGAGAATCAAGCATACAGCTGTCAGCGTGTCTGTTGCTTACACGAAATTGGTGCCGGTACAAATTATGCATGCGGAATACCGGCTGGAAACTTACGCTGTGAATGGATGATCTGTTTGTCGGATGCCACTTGTCATGTTTGATTTTCACTGTTGAAAAGGCCTTCATTTCGGGTCTCTTAGGAAACGATACAGCTTCCAGAGTTTCTGCAATGATTCGTGCCCTGCGGCGCGCAATACCCGCTACGGTGACGGTAGCGAGCACCAGCACAATTATTCGGGCGCAGCGAACACGCAGAAGTGACTGAGTGGAGTCAAAATTGCGGCCATGCCGCCGCTAAGGCCGAGGAGGCGGCACCTGCCCTTACAAGGGCTCACACCACTCTAAGCGGGGGCGCGCGCATCGAGGCACTCTTCTCTGTCGGGTCCGTAACATAGTCAATTCGCACTGTTCGGTCAGTGTTACTATAGAATAAACGTGGGTCCGCTGGGTGCCAGCCCAGTATTCTACCACTGAGCCACGCCGGTGCTTGGGACTTGTTTGCAAACTTGCATAAGGAAGGACTGATGTCGGCAAAGCAATCGCGTTAATACGACTTTTAAAGCGTTTTAAAGGTCGCGGGATCAAACCCCGGCTGTGGCAGCTGCATTTCCGATGGTGCGGAAATGTTGTAGGCCCGTGTGCTCAGATTTGGGTGCACGTTATGGAACCCCAGGCGGTCGAAATTTCGGGTGCCTTCCACTACGGCGTATCTCATAATCATATGGTGGTTTTGGGACGCTAAACCACACATATTAATCAATCAAGCGTTTTAAAACAGCGAAAGAACAACCAGTCCTCGCACAATGCGAATAGCGTAACGAGTGGGCCGTCCAATGTTCCAACCCATTACAAAAAAATTGGCAGCATATCCACGGAGTGAATGATGGAGAGTGGGGCGAAGCATTCGTCCGTCCATTCGTTCTTGCTTCCGTCCATCCATGCGTCCGTTCTTGTGACCGTCCATGCGTCCATCCGCCCGTGCGTGCATCTTTTCGTGCGTCCACCCCTGCGTTTGTCCATGCACCCACCCCTGCGTCCGTTCGTGCGTCCATCCATGCATCTGTCTGTGTGTTCGTTCGTCCATCTATTCAACACTCCAAGTACCACCATCTCGCATCTTTTCATCATATATTCCCCATATAGAAGCACCGCCATCCAGCGGACATTCCAAGGACTAAACGAGAGGTGGCACATGCACACTTTTTTACGGCTTGCGCTTTGGGTCTACTTCCCACCTTTAACAACCTCGAGTTCATTCATGGTATATACTAGTTCATTGTATTCATTGCAGTGCGGCTCAACGCTCGCTAAATCTTTCTAAAACTAAGGAGGTTACACCCAGCGAGTATAACGTAGCGACCCTTTCTTGTCAGATAGTGCTCAATGTACATGCCAATGGCTGATGGGGATCGCAGCATGCGCGTTAACTAAAAGCCGAAAGCTCCTGTCTCTCATTCCCCATTAGCAGCCATTGGCATGTACATCGAGCTTTATTTTTTATTGTTCAACAACGCACAGAAGAAATTTTTCACCGGCACCACCTTGGAAATCAAAATGTTATGCTTGTTACATACTACAACGGCTACGAGGGACGAACGGGTGCCGCTATAGGAAGCTTTGCCCCTAAAACTTGTTCACCTATTAACTGTGGTGTATACCCAAGAAGAAGAAATGGACATGGACCGGGCGTGTAGTGCGTAGACAGGATAACCGCTGGTCGTTAAGGGTAACTAACTGGATTCCCAGAGAAGGCAAGCGGGTTAGGGGAGACAGAAGGTTAG